AAAAAACCGAAACAAAAATTACGTTAAAGGAGAGGCAACAACTTTGTTGGGGCAGAAAAAATCTCGAAATTGTTAAAATAAAATTAAGCAGAAATAAACGCCCCACAAAGTGAGGCAGAAATATCAGGGGAGGGAAAATCGAAACGGGCAGTGATCACCGATCACCAATTATAAGAAATGATGGCTCAAGTTCATAGATATACACCGCAAGGAATTCGATTTGGCCAGCTTTAAAGGCTCAATGGGTTTCATTGAATTCGAAAGCCATTACTTTTTGGGAAACATTATAAGATTGAGAATCCACCTTCTTGAGAATCTTATCAGTTTTCGAGTGCACTCAACACTTTGCTTTTAATATAAATAATTGTCCACGGCTACCGCAAGTCGAAGAGGAGCGCTATCCTATCACCCCGGCGGCTCCACTCTTCCACTCCTCCATTACGGCGTCGTCTCTTTTGGGCACAATCAATGATGATAGATAGGCCACCGAAGGATGGGACGCGGGGATCGCATCGCGTGTGCGATCAGTGTCCAACCACAAATCGCTTTGGGGCCTTTGACAGCATCATTCAAAAAGTAAATACGATCTGTCGCCGCTTTCGAGTGGAGCATGAAGGAGCTGCTCCGCTCCACTCGAATATCCACAGATCCGCGAGATTCGAGGAGCGGGTTTCGAAACGATCGTGATTAAATTCGCCAATCGAACAGCAGGAAGCAATCGGCGATCGGAGGCAATCGGCAATTCGGCGTGGACGGTGGGAAAAATCCGCTTCATACGGTTGGGCGGACTAGGCAACTGGGAGGTGGATGTCGGAAAATGTTTTCGGTGGAATTATGAAAGTGAATTATGTTTTCAGGGGAATTAGGTCTGGCAATCGCTTGGGAAACTAGCGACTGACCCACATAAACTGTCGCATATTATCACCACTCGAAGTCGAAGTCGAAGTCGAAGTCGGCTTGGATCCGCAATCTTTGCGCGATGACAACCTTACGAATCGGTTTTTAAGCATGTACAAACAGCGCAACCCCAATCGCAAGGCGACTGTAATTGGAGGGCTGCGAGGGCTAGTTAAATGTGCAGATTACACACCTTATTATTATGAAATATGTTCCCTAATTATGACCAAGGGGTGAGACGTGGGCCGGCCAGTTTGGCCAGGGGACAACCTCTTAATAGTCGCTTTGGCCAGCCCTTATGTAATTTCCACTGCCAGTTCGGCTTTTCTGCTGTTCGGGAGCCGGGAAAAAAGGGCCCAGAGAGGCAAGCCATGGACCTCCTTATACGAGTATTGACAGTCCTGGCGACAACGACGACGTCTGAACTCGGGCAACGCAGCGGGGAAAACTCAGAGGGGGAGTCTCTGTCGAGACTCCGACTTTTGCTGACTTCTGGCTGCTGGCTGCTGGCTCCCGTCTTCCTCATGCCAATTTATTTATGGTGCGGTACAAGTTTTTACGCACTCAAGTGCTCTGAGACTAATTGGGCACGAAACGCAATCAAAGTGACGACGACAACGATGTATTGGGCCGATCCCTGCTCCCTGCCCACTGCTCCTTGCTTCTGCTCCAGGAGAACCGGGTGACACTCACTGGAATCGATGGATGGCTGGCTGGCTGGCTGGTCGGTCGGTCGGTCGATCGATCGATGGATGGATGGATGGATGCGAGGACAGACAAAGTGCACAGAAAAACGGAACGGCAGCGAAGCACTCAGAAAAAATGTTGGTGGGAGTGAGGCATTTTACAAGCGAAAGTTTTCATTCCAAACTCGCACAGAGCTCTACTTTAGAGTTTACGTTCTTTCCACTTTTCACCGAAAACTAAATTTCTAAAAACGAATTTCAAATACAAACTAAAACCTAAGGTCTTCGGAAATTCTTAAAGTGATTTCACCTGAGAGTGCGACAAGAGAGCGCTCAACGATCGATTCGATCACTTGAACTTTATATCTCGGCTGATGAGGCTTTGATTTGTGGCCCTCAGCCGGGGATCTTAACTGGAGAAGGGAAAGGGGAAGGGGAACTGGGAGGGGGAGGGGGAATACTGAAGCGGAGTCCGGCCAAATAGTTGGCCTATGTTCTACACAATTATCTGTTATTATCGAGCTTTATTTTGCTCTTTTTCATTGCGCAGCGATGTTGACATCTCATTGCTGGAGGAGCCTTTTATGCCAACACTTAAAAATAGCAGCCACAGGAGATGTTCGCTGGAGAGGTACCCCCTCCTCCCCTCCTCCCCCTTTCTCCCTTTCTCGGAGAATTCCTTGGCATTCCCCTGCGATCGTTGAGGGAGAACACGTGTCTCTCAGTGGGCTGGTGGGGAGTGGGAGGCGTTCGTTGGTTGGCAAGGACATCGCTTTTTGACGAGAGCTACCGACAAGAGCGATCAAGCTACTAATGGCTTGTGAGAATAACATGACCCCTATAGGCAACAAATATTTTATGTAGTTATACACATAATTTTAACCAAAGCGAAACCTGAAATCACCTTTGGGTTTAAGTGTTAGGAGTCTTGACTTTCGAATCTCTTTCGACTTTCGTTCATTATTATCTTTCGACCAGCACTATCACTTCCTTTCTCGACTCCTCCCAAAAAGCTTGACCTGCGACTGATGAACTCAATCAAATCGAAATTAAAGGAGGCCGGGAGAAAATCCGCGAAGCAAATTACAATTTTGATAATTGCCATGACTGCGACTCGAAATCATTTCTGCCCCTTCGCCGGCGCTCGAGCTGAACGGTTTCGATCGACCGATGGATCGAGGCAGCAAACTGCCGAAAAACCACCGATCCAAGGGTCAGCAAATTTGGGGAAAAGGACGCAAAGACGGAACGACGGACCGCGAAATAGGGTATACTTTCTGGGGGCAATGATTTACGGCCGCGGAGGTACGAAGACCTCGAAGTCGAAGTGGAGAGAACCGAACCGAGGGACAAATCAATAAATTTTAGATCGGTGCTTGCACTTGATTATAAAGTGGAAGTCAGCACATAATGTCCAGTTGTTGTATAATTTTGGCAGATTGCTGATTCTTTATGCTCCCATTCCGCGCCTCCACTTCCTGTTGACCTTGCGGATGTCTCTGATGGATTCCCGCTAATGTTGTGTTCCGATTATATTGGTAGTCCTTAAATCTATTTTTTACTAACTGATGAGGTAGTATTTAAATTGCTTTCGGGGATTGGGGTGTAAAAATTAAAAGTCTGGCTCCTCGTGCCTGAGCTATTTGCGCAAACTCCAGCACTTCACTTCCTGCTGACCTTGTGGAGCACCTGTATTTGTCCCTCTGAGAACCCGCGCTAATTCCATGACTACATTCCGTTTCCATTGCAGATACCGAGAGGACGCTCTGTGCTGGGGCGACAGGTGAGCGCAGCCAACAAGTGAGCCGAGACATTTATCGGCTAATTTAATTTATTTAGAAAATGCCACAGCTTTTTCCCGCCGTAACAGCTTCACGCTAATCGAATTCAACAGCCCGACTTAAATGTGCTTTTTGCTTTTTGCTTTCTTCTGCCCCTCTTATTGCAGAAAGTCCATGGAGGAGATCGGCGCGGCCCAGTCCTCGGTGAATGCGCGGTAAGTGTTAATGTTACCGTAAATGATTCAGTCCCCCGACCGCAGATCTGGGATCCCCCACCCCCTCTCCGATCTGACGTCCCCAACCTCAGCGCCACTTGGCGGCGGCGGCGACTGCGCATCGCATTTGTTAGCATAAAATTATTGAATGCCAGCGGAGTCGTCGTCGCTGTCTGCGTCTTGAATCGTTGTTGCATCTCCCGATGTTCAGAAGTCGGCGCGACAGACGTCAAAGGCGCATCTATGGGATACCTGGTATCGACTGGTATCGACTGGTATCGACGGCTTACAGCAGAAACCGTTGGCCGCCTTCAGGGTATCCCGATGCCAATCGGCCATCGCTGGCGAAGCGTTAGATTGGTCCTTAGCAAGGGGACTTATTAATAACGTATACGATAGAACCGAACGCACCTTGCAAACGAACTTTATTAGCAAGTACTATAGGAGCTCTTAAATGTTTTGGGGACGGGGGGAAAACCCTAGGGAGCTTGATAAAGAGACTACCCAAGCACACATCCCGAAAATGCCACGTATTCCTCGAGGCTTAGCCGTTCCCAACTCAGTTCACCTGGCTTATCTAGTGTAGAGCCAGTTCGACTCGATCCGCCAGCGATTCCACTTGATGTGCGCTGTCTGCTCTCGGCTGACTTGTTGTCTTGTTCTCGTTTTGTTATGACATTTTACATTTTTAATGGGAATTCTCACATAAAAAGTACAAATATCGGACTAATTGGATTTATCTCGAGGCTGTCGCGCGTTGTCACACTCTTTTTCTTAGCCTGCCGGAAGATCTGAGGCAGAAAGTCCCGAGTCCCGAGAAGAACGTAGAAATGGGGGGAGCAGTGCAGTTCTAGACGAGTTTCTAGTTCTCAGACCCCGAAGACCCTGTCCAAGACTCTAGCCGCTGGAACCGAGTCTTGTAGCAATTAGCAGTAACCCAGCAGTGGCCGAGTCCCAATTCGTTCCCCAATCCGTTTCCAATGAATCGATCAACTGGCAAACACAACGATAACAACACTCGGCCACAACAATGCAGCAATGAGGTAAAGTTGCATTGCTCAAATTGATTTCTGCAATTAATTGAACAACGCAAATGACAAACTGACAAAAACCCGGGCCACAAAACAAAAGTAAAGTACATATGGCTGCAGCGAATTCCTCTCTCTTCAGGCCAGACCCGTCTTCCAGCCCGAAGACCTCTCTTCCAGCCCGAAGACCCCTCTCTCCTGGCTTTCCAACCTCGAGCCATTCGAGGAATGCACTTTGGCTCCCGAACACGCTTCCAGCTCGCGAGCAGAAAAGCGGGGATTGTGACTGAGGAGTTGGTCGGAGGACAAGGTCCTGCCTCGAATTCAGAGGGTATTTCAGGGGTATGCATATGTGATAGGTGAATAAGAAGTAAACAATATAGAAGCACTCACCCCGTTCCTAATCCACTTTGCATTGCTCATTATTCATAAAATTCCATTTGCATTGAAGTACAGTTTTGTTTAACACAACCAATAAAACACTACATAAACACTAAAATAAATAAATAAATAACATTCCAATCAAACACAATATACGAGTTTTTCTGCTTACCTTTTTACACTTTCATTCATCACGAGCGTTATTACTTTTGGGGTACAGCTCCTTCGTTTACTTTTATTTGCTCTCCTTTCTATCTTCTTTTCACGGTCACATCTGCAATTGTAGTTGTGACTTATTTTCAATTTGTTTTTATGATCTGCTTTATTGAAAGGCTCCACGTCTCGACACAGTTTCGGAAGCTGCATGAGTATAGTATATTAGTATTAGTGTTAGTATTCCTGAGGTACAGTGCCATCACTGTATATGAAGTAAATAATGTAAGCACTCACCCTTTTCTAGTCCATTCGATTTGATACCATTTGCATTATTCTTTTGTTTAATGCAATCAATAAAACACTATATAAATAACAAACGTTAAAAAACATTGCAAAGGAACACATTTACGAGCTTTTCTGCTTACCTTTTGACACTATCATTCATGACGCGCTATAATTCTTTTAGGGTACAGCTCCTTCGTTCACTTTTATTTGCTCTTCTTTTTTACTTTTCACGGTCATGTCTGCAATCGTAGTTGTTGCGCTTTTTTATTTTGTTTTTATGATCTGCTTTATTGAAAGGCTTGTTACTACTCCACATCTCGACACAGTTTCGGAAGGTGCAAGAATATTAATTAATAATTCCGAGCACAACTGATCACTTTTGTGTCGCCGCAGCTTCTCCTTCTTCGGCAGCCGCGAGTTATTCAACTAAATACCAGAAAAGTGAGCGACAACCTGCAAAAGCGAAAGAAAACCGGAGTTAAAGAGGGAGGAAAAGAGAGGAGTCAGAGAGAGGGGTTTTACAGATTATTCCTTGTTCTGTTTCGTTATTGAGTAAATTTATCGGCAAAACGACAAACGTTTATTGTACACCAAACAATAATATGTTTAGAGATGAAATAAATTTGAACAAACTTTTACTTACTTATACTTAAGAGTCCTGATACAATGTTGTCCGAAAGAAGAAGCTAAAAAAGTGGATTTAAGCCACTGCCGTTCATCACTTTTTACTCAAAAGTTATTACCCAAGCTCCAAGGGCAAACGAAGGGTCGAGGGTAATCGGGGGAACTGGAGAGAATATTTCATCGGAAGCACGGACAATTGCGATAAAGATCACGCTCCCGAACTGCACTACTCCGATTTCATTTCGATTCAGTCCCTCTGTCCCTACCTCTCTCCCTCTCTCATTCTCTCTCCGATGTTTTATTGCTTAATTGTTGGTCTCTCTTGTGGTTTTTGAATTATGAACTTCTCTGTTTGTCACTGCTTTCGTTTTGTTTTGCTTTGTGTTGTGTAACACAATCGAGAAACAGTTAGGCCATAAAAAAACTCTCCTCAGATCTGACAAGTAGATAATGCATTTCTCCGGCTACTCTTTTTCGGCAGTTGCAGCATCAGTGACTTTAAACACTTAAAAAATTTAAAAATATTTTATATGTATTATATAGCTTCCCACTAAATGTCTTGCCATTTTTTGTACAGTAAAATAATTTGGAAAATTTCTGAAAAAATTTTAAGATTAAACAATAATTTGTTCAGGTGTAGGAATGATTCTTCTGGAAATCATTTTGTCCAGCTATTTTATCACCTCGTGTCAGTTTTATGGAGGCTTGGCCTGCCTCCTGAAAAAGAGAGTGAAGAAAGGAGAAATGGTGACAGATCAGCGATCGCGGTTAGTTTATTGCTTCCTCCTGGCTCCTTTCTCACTCATTTCTCTCTTATCTTATCGCCTCGATCACTTGTTCATCGATCGTTTTCCAGGCGCCTTTGAATTGTTTTCTGGTTCTTGTTTATTTTCGTATTTGTGATTTTCGCATTCACTGTTTTGTTTGGATTTCTTCTGCCATCACGTTCCTATTTGAAATGGACGCCTCGTGTGTCCGAGTAAACGTGATGGATGCATCAACTGGCCAACTTTGCCTTCCGTTCCCCTCCCTTATGGCTCTTGGCTCCTTGTATACCTCCTTAATAAGTTTCCTGTTGGCTCCGTTACCAACCCAATTCCTGTGTCCTTGTGGATAATTCTGTACAGTGCGCTCTCGAAATCACTTTATGTAAACATACAAGTTGTTGTACTTTTAATTTGATTTAATTTTCAACAAACTTAAGTTCCACCAATGGAAATTTATTTAACCTAATTTGCGATCAATTCCTTGTTTGGCTAATTAAGCGTTAGACAAAAGCGTTATCACTGTACCGTTCCCGACACGTGATGTGTGGAAGAGCAGGCCAGACGTGCGCCAGACACTTGTGCTTAGTTCTGCCCCCGCTGGCCATTGACTCTTCCATTCATAAAAGTCTGGCGGCGAATTCGAGCTCCTGACTGGAATACAAGTGTTTTCGAAAAACCAAAGCAGAAAACGCAACTGAAACCGAAACCAAAATGAAAATTCATGTCCATGTTCCAGCGATGCCCGCAGCACGCACACGCACCTCAAAATGGCGAGGGGGTGGTAAGTGCCAGGGTGGTGAGGTGTGGAGAGTGGCGGGAGGGGTTGAGGCGCCACCACACGCATCGTTGCACGTCCATGGCCATTGTCCTCGGGCGGCTGAGGCTGAAGCCACACGCCGTCCACTCATCATCCACACGTAGTCCACAACACTCGCAGAAATCTAGCGATTTTGACGTCATCATCAGTTCGCTTGAAGTGAACTTCAAAAGATCGGTTTATTTACTTTCTATCACGTCCTGTTTCACAATTTAGTATATCCTTTTTGTAACCTGCTTATATCTGACCATTTTTTTGACTTTTTCTGGGGTCACGCTAATCCTTTGATTAATGTATCTAATCAAAATTTTACGAGTTAATAATATGTTAACTGAGTGACCACAGTTTTTTGTTCAGTGTGCACTCACGGCCGATTTCGGACCTACAGAAGAAGGTTCTTCCACTCTCCTCTGGACAATTCCAATCCCTGCCTGCCCCACAATGATGATGACCAAGAAGATGATGATGGCCACGATGTCTGCTTGGTGTCTGGACGTGAACGTGAACATGGACATGGCCCACCGACCCCCCTTTACCCCCCAAAACCCCCGAACATCCTGCCATTCATTCCGGAAGCGCGAACGCTTTCCACGTTCGATTTTTATGGCGAGCGTTGAATTCGAGTTCCTCATTCATTGTCTACTCTCGACCACCTCTTCTTTTTCTCCTGGACCTGGACACCCCCGCTGGCCCCGCAAACCCCAGCCAACCCCCTTAACCCCTCGGCGCCTGACCCAAGCACTTGGCACGTTTCCTTTTTAAAATTCACAATTGCCGCCGCCGTAATTGTGGGAGAATTCGCTACGCCAACTTGTCTCCTTGCCATCTCACTCACTCTCTCCCAAGAAATCGATCACGTTTCGGTTTCTACACATGTTCCAGTTACGTTGCGCTTACGTAATGTTTATACTACTCCCGGTGGGTCGGCGGTCTAGCGGGGTGTCCTAAACATTGCCTATGGTTAAGGTCAAGAAACCAAATTTGCTCTGATTTTTGAACGAAAACCGAAGATGTTTTAATCCCCACGAGATTTATGCATTATATTTTAACATAATATGTATGTATTGATAACAAAAAAAACATCACAATTTTGTTTCTAAAATAGACCTCTTGGCGTTATAGTACTTTCTTGACCTCTGCCATGTAAAAACATAAATTTTTATCCCCAACACTTTTTTCATTTTAATCAATGATTTGCCCAAACTTCTCCCCTTATCAGTTAGTTTTCAATGTTGGCAGCTAAACGGCGACCGCCACCTTGACAATTGAACCTTTTTTCCTTGGAAATTAAAAGGATGTTGCCGTTTCTTTGTGGGGTTTTTATGGGGGTGTGATATGTGAGAGTGGTGGGGGAGTACTATACAAATAGGCACATAAGAAAGACAGCTCCTGTCTGTGCGCGGTTGGAATAACAAAACGTCCACCCCCACCTGAACTACCTTTTCACACTATATCCTGTATAGCCCCCCAGTTCAAGGGTTCGCGTTTATTCCGCAGGATATATCCATCCGTAGGCTTCAGTTTCTTCGCTTTCCATTGGCATTTTGGTCACATACACAAACACACATAAAAAGGCGAGGCAGCAACTAACACCCACGCAGCACATAAGTGCGAGCGAGAGGCCCGCGAATCCCCAAATGTGTAAAGAAGTAAACTAATTGCTGCGCGTGCTGCAGCGCCAAACAAAAGCTCTGTTCCTTTCTCTTTCTGTCGCTGCGAAGTACATAAACGCAGTCAGATGGGTTACAGACGGGTGAGCGAACGAGATGGCACTAAGGCAAGCACGTTTGCCAACGGGCACGTACATTCAGCCATCTCTTTCAGGCGGCTCCTGCTATCTCGCTTGCTCTGCCGTTGAGTATGCGGCTCATTTGGTATGCGCACTATGTCGATTCCGATTCGACGCCGTGTCACGTCCCGCCCATTTGCACGCACACACACCCGCCCCCCATTGTGTGTACAGTGTGTGCATGTGTGTGCTCGGCGGAGTTGGGTAGTGGTGTGTGTGCGGAGAGCGTGAGGCTGCTTAAAATGCTACTGGCGCTGCTCGCACATGACTCTGCCGGCGGTCAGGTGCTGCTCACCCACACAGACACGCATCCAACACGGCCAACACGGACACAGACAAACTTACAGGCCCTAAAACATCAGGGTGACTCTAATTTGTTGAGCAGTAACTATTCTCAACACAAGTTTTTTTTTTTTAATTTTAGTAAATAATGTTTGGTTCTGCATTTTCTATTTCATTTTAAATTTTTTGATGATAAAAGTAAGCCAAATCGCAGCTAAGGAAGCCTAAGTAATTGGACATTTTCAATGATTATTGTTAAACTGAGCTAAAGCTAAGCTTTCAGGTTAAGAATTTTTATAGCTTAGTAAATTTCCGGAAGACCCCTTCAAATAGTTTAGTAAGCGAAATACTTTTGTTTAAACTTCTTACCATAGAAATTTAAAAAAAATATTTTAACGGGTCGAAAATAAGAAATCCTTATTTTTTGGTTACCTTAATGCCCGCAAGCACTTGGCGCCGTTGCTTCGTTGTTTTTCTGTCTTCGAGTCACCCCCAAAAATTGGGTGTGCCCTCTCGCTCGCTCGCTGGCTAGCCCCCTCTCGCTCGCTCTCTCTGCCTCTCTCTCAGTGCCTTTTTGCCCTGCTTTGGTTTTGTTCGGTGACGTGAACGTGACTCTGGATTATTCTGCACGTACTCGTCGCCAGCGACGGACGTACCGCATACCGTACTCCGTGCTCCGTGCTCCGAACTCACAGTTCTCCGCATCCGTACTCTGAATTCCGTATTCGGTATTTGGTATTCGGTATTCGGCATTCAGTATTTCGTGTTCAGCGTCATCAGCTGCAGTTTCACGTACGCAGCTCGGCCGTGCAAGTGTGTCCGCATATCCGTGAGGCCATCTCTCTCCCCTACCGCCTACCGCCCACCGCCCACCGGCCATCGCCCACCATCCCTTGAAAGCGGTGCGTGTCCGTAATTGGCAGGTCTCATTCCGGAGAACGTAGAACGCAGAGCCGCACCGTAACCCGCAGCCAGTAACCCGGAGACGTGCCAAGTGCCGGAGATAAATTAACTGGACGCGAACGCGCCTCATTTGAATGCCAATCGATTGACGGCTAGTTTGCCGATGATCCCGATCCGTAGTGCGTGACCCGTACTTTCCTCGCAGGATAACTGAAGACACGTACCACACGTGCGTGTGTGTTTGTGCGACGCGGACAACAAAAGGATGCGGCCTTCAAAACGAGTGTCACGCCCCCTTGAATCCTTGAATCGAAACCGAGTGCAATAACAAGTGATAACAAGTGTGAAAAACAGATAAGAAAACTTTCCCAGAAGCCAAAGGCCTTTAGAAGCCCCGCACAAACCTCGCAATGTTGCCGTACCAGGCGGCCGTGGCCATGGACTACGCCGGATACCAGAGGCAGCCCACGCCAGGACACCCCGGGGGCCACATGGCCACCATGGGCTCCTTGGGCATGCCGGCGGTGCCCTTCACCCACAGCTGGATGGTTCCCACCCAGGACCTCTGCGCCATGCCGCCCTACAACAAAATGCCCGGACACCAGCAGCCGCCCGGACCCGGAATGCACGCCCAGCAACAGCCCCTCGAGCCCGGGTTAGTTAACCTGCGAAAGAGTACCCGTTTTCGATTCCAAGTTTGGGAACATAGTGCTAGGTTTTGCTGGAGAAGTAAAATTGCAAACGGTTCCAATAATCCTCCTAGGCCTCAAAAGAATTCCCTCGATTTTTTGGCTAGCTAAAAAACTTCCTATATTAATTATTTAACTTGAACTGATATGTCATATCATATCATAAGTTACATATCAAAATTAACGTAGGGCACTCGCAGAGTCCGTGCGAGCCCAAACAAAAAACCTCGCCTTCATTGTGCACATTTTGAGGGCTCTTAAATTTATTTTAATGCGCTCATCACAGGCTTGAAACTTCGTTTTGTGTAGCTTTATTGGAGCCGCGCGCGGCTTCTGGCTCTCAACACACACAATACACACAACACACTCGACTCGGCTTTGGCTTTGGCTTAAGTTTTAGCCTGAATCTCAGAGCCGCGTCTTCGGCTCCGACTTGGAGATTCGTATCTCAGCCGAAAGCGTCGTCGTCTTGGCCATAAAAATATTTTGATAATTAAAAAGAAACCCCGACTCGGGCTTTGCCACGGGCCAAGCCAGTTTTCCCTCAGCCACTTGCTTTTTGTTTAAACATCCAAACATCCGAACAGCTCACAGCAACAACATTTTTAATTAGTTGTGTTGAAATTGCGTTTAGTGAGATGTCAGTACCTGCGGTACACGCCGTAAATGCTTTCCTAATAAAATCGCGTGGTTCAAAAAACCCATGCGAGCGAAACCGAAACTGTTTTTCTGCCTCCCTGCGAAGGGGAAAACTCATTTTGGGGTACAAAAAACATTAATCTTGGCCTCGTCAATATCGAAATGCCATTCAAATGAGGCGGGGAGGGGTGACGATGTGTCCGATGAGCCGGAGGTGTTGCCTTGACAAATGATGTGCGGTCTCGATTTTAATTTCGCACGAAATTCGCCACTGTCTAACGGGCGAACAAATTGCCTGTCATTAGCGAAAATTGCCTAAATCGAGGAAATTGCTGCCTTGCCAAAAATGAATTTTAACAAATCGTCCCATTGTATTTGTTTTTCTTTTAAAAAAATTGTTTTTGAATTTGTTCTTGGTATGCTAAATATTTATTGGAATTGTCCACTATCAAGGGAAGAGCGCTGTTTTTACTATAAATAAAACTCTCCTTAACCATTGTGTAATTGTAAAGCTGGGTGAAAAATCCGCCAATCTTAATCTTATCAAAAATCCTTTGAGCAACTCTTTTCCACTTGATTGGCGCGGTTGTGCAAATATTTTTATATATCCCAGATGCAATTTGATTAGCGGCTTAATGCCGAAATTAAGGGATCCCGAAGAACATAAGCGGCTTACTGCGGTCAGAAAAGAAAGCAGGGAAAGTCATCGAATTTTCCTTTCTCCCTTTGTAGGTCCTTTGGTTCGCACAAGAAAAACATAAGGATAAAGGTTAAGAAGTGTGGCCTAGAGGCCTTTTGTTGAGGTAGAAATAGTTTCGGGTCCCGTTATTGCTTTATCACTCCTGTCGCTCTTTGTGAGAGTTTCCATAAGATATGGCCAGGACACAGCGGGAATGTCCTTGTGAAGTCCTTACGTAATCGCAGTTCAAGGAAAACACACAAAATATTACCCCAGTTTTCTAATAAGAATTAAAATACGTTTGTTTTCTGTTTGAGGATGGTTTGATCTGGGCTTTAGTAAAAGTTTGCCTTTGGAAATGCCTCTCCGAATCAATATGCACTTCTCGCTTCGCGTAGCGCACAAAGATTTCACTGCAGGTCAAAACAACACTCGCAACATTAACAGCAACAACAAAGAAGTTGTCAACAAACGTAAATTATGAAGACTTGAAGCCAAGTTTTCTGACGAAGATGCTCTCAGAGATGGCCGCCTGCAGATAGCGGAACCGCAGAAGGTTGAGCAGATCCATATCCATGTCCACAAAGCCCGACCCGAAAGCAGGCAGCCTTACAGGCAGACTTACGGATCCGAGCGAGAAGCGGCGGCCTTTAGAGAGTGAATGCGCTGCAAGTTTAGTGAATGAAGAGTTGCGTTTAGGGGAAATAACGAGATCCCATCTCGGGGAGGCGGCTCTTTCACAGAGATCCGAAGATGTGCAGGGAAGCAGTAATGAAAACATCAGGGAAAGACGCAAGACTCGCTGGGAAAAACTCTCTCACACAATGGGGCTTTGGGAAATCTTGCAACAAATGGGCTGCCATTTGTCCAGCGACAAACTGTCTGACCGACTATTGTCCAACTATTCGAGGACCGAAACCGAAACCTATTTCCCGCTGAAAGGCTGACAAATGTCGGGCAATTAGTTTGGCCTGACACCATTCCATCACAAAGCCGTGGCTTGGCCAAACAAATGGCCGAAAACGCGGTGCTGACAGGTGCGAATGGTGAGGAGAGTCGTCTTTCGGACCGATCCTCTAGCCATTCGTCAGTGTCTACTTATGTAAACTGATTGATTCGCGTCTCCCTCTTCTATTCTACTATTGAGTGAGTGTCTCATGGCTGGAATTATCTTCTCTTTGACAGCATCCTGGAACTGCGCAAGGAGAAGTCGAGGGACGCGGCGAGATCGCGTCGCGGGAAGGAGAACTACGAGTTCTACGAGCTGGCCAAGATGCTCCCGCTGCCGGCAGCCATCACCAGTCAGCTGGACAAGGCCTCCATCATAAGACTGACCATCAGCTACCTGAAGCTGAGGGACTTCTCCGGACACGGCGATCCGCCATGGACTCGGGAGGCCTCCAGCAGCAGTAAGCTTAAAAGTAAGTAGCGTCTTTAGTTCATTCCATGGGTGTTGGTATAAAGAAATTTCATTAAAAGAGAAGTACAGGGGAAAGTCGTAGGTAAGGGCTTTAATCAGAGATGACTATGTGTATTTAATAGCTTAGCCAACAATTCAACATAGTTCCAAGAACAGCAGACAGTGATTTCCATATCGAAGTCATTGGAAACCAATCAGTCACTTTAATGGGGCCTTCTGAAATTCCACAAACTGTCACAGAGCCTCACGCCGGTTGCCCCTCGCCTTTGCCCACAAATCGGAGACCAAAATGGTCGCGCATGCGCAACAAATAAAAATAAATTGCGCCTAATAACGATATTTTATGCAAATCCGGCTAAAGCCCAAAACAAAACTTAAAAACAGTTGACAAAGTCAACGAGTAATTGTTGCTTTCCGAGCTAGCTGGCCAACAAAATTTTTTAAGGTGCGTACGAGCATAATTTCTGTCGTAGAAATAAAGTTTTGATTTCACTTAAGGCGAAGCTGGCTGCTCGCTCCTCACGAAATATAGGCAAATGAGTTTCCTGCTTTCGGTTTTAATTGCCGCCCAATCGACCGCTTCCCCTGTCTCTTTCTGGCCAATAACGATCGAAAATGGCCGACAATATGGCGGACGTCTTGCGTCAAATGCAAATGAGCGATCGGAAATTTCTCTGCCTTTCGTCCACACATAGACACTCCAAGTGGTCCGAGCAATGATATTTAATAATACAGAATATAGTATTAGACAAATTAAAAAATGCAGATCAAAATCTTCTTTCTTTAACAAATTCAACAAGTGTCTAATCGGAACCCCTTAAAGTTGGCGAGTTTGTCGACACTTGGCCTCGCATTAAGTTTAGCATTGAAAGCAAAGCACAGAAGTTATTGCCAGTGACTCCAAGCCGCTATATAACCGGGCTGTATCCATCCACACCATTCCCCATTCGCCAGTCAGCCACGTCATGCTCCGACGACGTTGACAATGCATTGTCACGTCAAGTGAAAAAGGCATTCCACGACGACAGCCCACGACTCTTGGCCAGGTTTCGTTCGGGTTCAGACAGTATTCAAAAGCTGCCAACTGGCAACGGGCTACTGCTACTGCACTTACAGAAAATATCAGGGGTAAAAGGGGTTTTTTTTAACGATATTGTCTATATTATCTGTCGAAAATAGGTGCATATCTGGTATTCTAATGATATCACACACCGATTCTAGGCATCTATCAAAAATCAAGCTAAACAAGTTGAAATTTAATTGAGAAAATAAATTAGGCCCATTGAACAATGTTTTCTCTGCGTGCTGGCACTCGCACAGTGGCAGAGTGGCGGAGTGGAAACGTGGAAACGGACAGAGCCAAAAGGCGAGGGCCATCAAAAAGCCAAAAAGGTAGTCAAGGCACTAAAAAATAATCCAAAATCAATGGGGCGTTATGTATGGGAGGCGGCGGAGTGGCCGTAACGCCTTCATCCATTCAATTGGATTATTATGCGAAACTAAACCCAGAAAAGTTGTAGAGAAACCGGAGAAGCCATGGGTCTTGGTTTGGGAGAGAAGGAGCAACAAGCTGCGGGGCAATAAAAAGCACTTCAATTTGACCCACAGCCGCAGAAAAAAGAGCGTAGAAGTGGAAGTATTTGTTGGATGGCGGGGTGTTTCAGTGGGTGGTTCAGGGGGAAGGTCATTAAGGCCGGACCGCAGCCACATATGGCCATGTCCGAGCGGAAGCGGAAACTGTTTGCCAACTTAGCGCGTCGCCCACTGGAGAATCCGCTGGGGATTTGAGGGGCCGGAATAAAGGGCGATTTGCACTTGTGCGAATTATGACTGGCCGGTCGGTCAGTCGTCCATAATCGTAAAATTCTATAATTGAATTAAATAAATAAGCTGGCGAGGCGAGGACCTCAGCTGAGAAAATATTGAATGCCCGCTCTCATATTTACGATGCCCTGCGGTTGTTGTTGTTGTTGTCTGTTGTTCTGGGGGCAGGGGTGCATCACTTATGAGTTGGGTCAAGAGCATGGACGTGGCTGAGTGGGGGGTGAGTCACACACGAACCTTGATGGGCAAACTATTGCTTTTCTGCAAATTTATTTGTTTTCACAGGGAGCTAGTTGAATCAGTCAGTTAAGGTAATAACGTATTTGAAACAATGTGAATAACTATTTCAACATTTTTCCAACAATAAATTTTATCTCGATTTAGTTTTTATTTGTGTTGCGATGCATTTGCATACTTTCCAACCACCGCCGCTCAACTTTCTCCTCTCCTCTCTCCTTTCTCCGCAGGTGCCGCCATTCGTCGCAGTCCCGCTGTTGATTTGTTCGAGCAACATCAGGGCACCCACATACTGCAGGTGAGATTATGGTGGCCCTATGAAAGGGACGGCAGTAGGCCCAGAGAAAGAGAGCGCGAGACAGATAGCCCGCGGCCATCTTGTGCATATGATTAAATTCCCGCTTGCGATATGAAGATACAGTGTGAACTTCATGGTGTTCCACCACTGTAGAAATTATTTCCAGAAACGTTAAACGATTGAATACAACTTTAGATTCATGTGTACTTAATACCATTTCCCCCTTGGCTTTTATTCCCTGCAGTCTTTGGACGGATTCGCCTTGGCTGTGGCGGCAGACGGACGATTCCTGTACATCTCCGAGACGGTGTCCATCTACCTGGGCCTCTCGCAAGTGGAGATGACGGGCAGCAGCATCTTCGACTACATCCACCAGGCGGACCACTCGGAGATCGCCGAGCAGCTGGGCCTGAGCCTCACGAGCGGCGGCGGCGGCGGCGGAGGAGGCGGCAGCTCGAGCAGCGGCGGCGGAGGCGGCGGAGCGGGAGTGGGCATGGCCTCGCCCACTTCCGGGGCCTCCGACGACGGCAGTGGAACTCACGGTACGAACAATCCCGACGGTGAGTCAAGTCCGAGTTGTCGAAGGACCAGGAGCGGGCAGAAAACCTGGTGCAGGGTGGGATTCGGATTCGAATACGTTTTCCAAAAGAAAACGCAGAAATCTTTTGAAATCGAAGAAGAAATTCGTACTAAAAAATCACAAGATTTCTGTTAAACAATTCAAAACAGTGTTGTCCGCTCAAGAGAGTTTTGTCCGCTCAAGAGAATATTGTCCGCTCAAGAGAGTTTTGTCCGCTCAAGAGAGATTTTTAGTATGAGAAGACCAAAGCTAATCTGAAACCCTTTCTGTTCTTGCAGTCGCCGCCTCGATGACCCAAGCCTCGACGAGTGGCTACAAGGGCTACGACCGGAGCTTCTGCATCCGGATGAAGTCCACGCTGACCAAACGCGGCTGTCACTTCAAGTCCTCCGGCTATCGGGTGAGTTCCCACACCCTTACTTTCTATCCTCCCAAGAACCTTTCCTTATTTCTTTTCGTTTGAGTTCTGTATTGTTTTTATTTACTTGCCCACGTTTTTAGCAGTATTTCTAACTGAACAGTTTTCGGGATTATTGTTTTCAGTTTTCCTTAGTTTTTGGTTTTAGTTAACCTCTTTCGTTGGCCCTAGGAATTGTTTGCTTGTCTAATGTAAGAGTTGCGAGTAGCTGTAAGACTAACCCATAGAAAACGTTTTCGGTTTTCGGTTGTGTTGTGTAACTTGCATTACCTGCATTTCTGCATTTTGTATTACGTATTACCATCCCATCCACTGCTTATCTACAGGCCAGCGATGCAACGAGCAATTGCAACAACGGTAACAATGCTAGTAACAATGCTAAAAACGTTAAGAATCCGGGCTCAAACTATTCGGTACGTATCAATTGAAATCAGTACGTTTGTATGCTAAAATGCTAAAATGCAAGGCAAAATCAAAACCTTATCAAAATTATTTACTGAGGAAATCGCTTTTTAAGTTCCCTTACTACTATTTCGGCCATAATTTTTGTGTTTGCTAAAAAACAACCAAGGCAAAGCCACTGACTGATTTTAGATTGATCAGTATCGAATAAATAGTGCGGAAGCTGCTTCAATCATCCATCCACCGACCAATCATCAATCGCCGCAATCACCACACGCTCTCTACAATATTCTTTATTTTCGTTTGTCATCCACTTTGTATTTTCTAATTTTTACTTCACATTTAAAAAAAGCTTTCAAAGAAAACCAAATTATAGAATAAGCTAGGCTTTATGAGTCACCAGCTTTCAATACTACAAATACACCTTGTATATCATGAAATCTTCAATTACAGTCCATCATTCCACGATATCATTTAAATTTGTTCCAAAAACAGTCATCAAATGAAGAATTCCAATACATATTCTCCCAATATTCTCCCAACATTCTGTTGGGAAATGATTTTGATTTAGTGTTAAATATTCTTTCACAAGAATTCCCTCCTTCACCGCCAAAGAGCAAAGTGTTTTAACTCCCGAACGGAGACTTCGCCCAGAAGTTAGATCCCGAGTCCTAACTGATTCCCGGCTTCCCTTGGAACCTTTGCAGGTGGTCCTGCTGCTGTGCAAGCTGCGTCCCCAGTACACCTTCTCCCACAGCCGCAAGTCGCAGCCGCCGCTCCTCGGAATGGTGGCTCTGGCCATCGCACTGCCTCCGCCGTCGGTCCACGAGATCCGCTTGGAGTGCGACATGTTCGTCACGCGGGTGAACTTTGACCTCCGGGTGGCCCACTGCGAGCCAAGGTAGGTTATCTGATAACTAACTATGTGTTCCCAACTAACGAAGTGGTTTCTTTTTACAAAGGGTGTCTGATCTTCTGGATTACTCGCCTGAGGATCTGGTAAACAAAAGTTTGTACTCACTGTGCCACGCCGAAGATGCGAATCGCCTGCGGAAAAGCCACTCTGATTGTAAGTACCCTCGAATACCTGTAATGATAGGTGGAGAAATCTATTAGAATATGAAAATAATTTAATCATTGTATCTATAAAATTGCAATGAATTCATGTACAATACATTCATGTTTTTGCAATTTGCTCCACTCTTTTTAGTGATCGAGAAGGGTCAGGTGCTGACGGGCTACTACCGACTGATGAACAAGAGCGGAGGCTACACCTGGCTCCAGACCTGCGCCACCGTCGTCTGCAGCACCAAGAACGCGGACGAGCAGAACATCATCTGCGTGAACTACGTGATCAGGTGGGTTTGCCTCGAAGAACAATTAAAAAAACAACACTAACCACTGCACCCCATTGGGCCATTCAACCCTTAGCAATCGGGAGAACGAGAACATGATCCTGGACTGCTGCCAGCTGGAGCCCAGTCCGGACAGCATAAAGCACGAGGAGGGCCTCGGGAACGACAAGAGCAGCGGATCCCCGGGCGGAGACGCCAGCGGCGAGGGCAACTCGCACCTGAGCGCCGGCGACATGAAGCTCAACTCGCCGAAGACCGACGCCGAGGGCCACTCGCACCGCGGAAGGGGACGCAGTGCAGCCGCCTCGCACGGCAGCAGCCTGGCCAGCCTCGCCCTCATCAAGGACAGCCCCACGCCCCTCGGGGTGGAGATTGACGCTGGGGGGTGCTGCCCACCACGGTGGCCACTCCCGTACCGGCGGCTACTCCGAATGGGAGCGCCTCAGGCGGCGCAGGGCAGTCGGGCGGCAAGCGGAAGCGGAAGACCAAGGCCTCGCAGCAGGCGGAGGAGCACCTCCAGGAGCAGGCGATGCCCGAGCAGCCGCTGCCCAAGCTGCCGGCCATGGAGCAGCGGGATCACCGGGATCAGCAGCCCCGCAGCCGCCTGCCCTCCATCGTGGACGAGCAGCCCTCCTCCTCGGCGGCGGACTCGGCGGTCAAGGACCTGGAGCAGGCCATGTCCAAGCACCTGCCCTCGCCCGTCGCCGTCGTCTCGGTGGCTCCGCCCCACAACACTGACTTCAGCGCCGACTCGCTGCTCAAGCAGCAGCAGCAGCAGCAACAGCAGCAGCAGCAGCAGCAGATGGACCCCAACGAGAAGGGCAGCACCATCCAGTGGATCGGCGGATCGCCCTACCAGCAGCCGCCTGCTCCGATGCCCGCCACCGCGCTCCTGCGGCAGCTGTACGCCAACCGGGAGAGCGTGATCCGGGCCACCGCCCGCCAGACGCCCACGGGAGTGGGAGTGGGAGTGGGCGTGGGACCAGGGGTCTTCTACGGGGACCAGCAGACGGGGCCGCTGCCCACGCCGCCGGGGAGCGAGTCCTCGTACGAGAACCAATACCTGCAGCTGCACTCGGCCGCCGCCGGAGGTCATCCCGGCGGGCAGAAGGGCTCCGCGGACGCGTTCACCAATTTAGTGTCCACCTACGGGGGCTACCACAGCTCCATCGACTACCACAACGCCATGACCCCGCCCAGCTCGGTCTCCCCGCGGGACTCCAACCAGCCGGGCAAGGCGGCGCCCGTGCTGGCCTCCAACGGGGGCTACGACTACGCCCCGGACCCTCTGCGCGGCCAGTACGCCACCAGTTCGGGAGAGGTGGTGCCGGCCACGCTGCCGCTGAAGCCGCAGGCCTCCTACACCGCCACGATGCACCCTTCGGCGGGCAGCACCACCACCGAGGGCGGGGTCACCTACAGCAACCTCGACCAGCCGCAGTACTTCGCTCCGCACTCGAGCTTCCACCTCTACCACAAGGGCAGCCCGGCCAGCGGGTGGTACTCCACGCCCTCCTAGGTGGTGGACGACCAGGGGCAGGACCAGTACCACCACCACCACCACCATCAGCAGGAGGGAGCAGTGGGATGCAGTGGCGGCCAGGCGGCGGGGGAGCGGTGGGATTTCGTGGGAGCGCTGGGCAAGGTGGCCAGGATGTTCTTCAGCGCCAGGAAGGGGAATCCGGGGTAGAGGGGGAATGGCTCAACTGGAGGACATTCCCCTCTGGCAATCCTTAAGATTTAGACTAGCGTAAGAGCAAAACTTAAAGCGTTAAAGAAAGCATTCAATGTTGTTAAATAGTTCTTAAGTCTGTAAATTATGAATCCACACACTCCGCACTCGGACACACTGAGACCCAATGAAATTATAGGCAAAAATACTCAAGACGCAATTGATTTAAACGTAAACTAACGAGTAGGCTAAGGATAAGCTTAGTTAAAGTTAAAGATGTAATAAGACTTGCATAGAGTGCCAAGGAAAGGAGACCGAACACAAAACGCTATGAACGAAGAGAGCGAATCAAAGGGAAAACGGCTTGAACTAAAATAGTAAACCCCTCCCAACCAATTGTTATTAATTATTTAACTCAATTGTAATTTTAGCAACGCATAAGCACGCATAACTAAGGTTACCGACTATGATATGTATACATTTATATATTATATATGATACCTAAACATTTTTACAACATATCAAATGCTTCCTCCCGTAGACTTAGGATTACCCTTAACGAGACTCGCTGTAGGATATTCATTTCGATTTGATTCGATCCCCGGCAAGTCGACTCGACTCGATTATTACCTCTAAGAGTTCCGGTTCCGCTAACGTTCGTCTACTTCGTTTCCTCCCTATTGTATATTTAATAAAACGTCTAATAGCTAAACTAAACAAAAAAAAAAACATATGCAAAAGCAAGAAAAAAAAAGGTGTAATTAAATTTTGTAAAAAGCAAAGAAGTTTCTCCCATTAAAGGCTTAAAATATTGAATATGACAATTGCAACGAGTTTCATTCGGAATGGGTTCCATATCTTCCGAGATATTTCCCAGATCGAAGGAGGCATTGTACCAATTTCAAACCACTTTTTACCGGATCGAGTGGCTACTAAATTCCTATTCAGTCTCGCTCCAAGATGCATCGCAAACACCTCTCCCAGCTGCTCTACGGAACGGCGCTCCTCACGGCGATCAAGGTGGTGCCACTGGTGACGCTGCAGCTGCAACTGGGCAAACAGGAACTGCCCTCCGTGACCTTCCGCTACTCGGGCATCCTTTCCAGCGCCGTCGTGTCCCTGGTGCTCACCTCCCTGGCGATGGCCCCCCTCCTGCGGACCTCGAAGCGCATGCGCAAGAGGCAGCCGAGGAAGTACTTCCTGGCCATGCTGCCCTGGATCCTGGTGTGCCTCACCGGGTTCGCGATGAACCTGCGGCTGCAGCTCAAGGCGATCTTCCACGTGGCGAGTGGCAACCGGCCGCAGGGCCTGATCTTCGCCCTGGTCGCCTACTGCGCCATCTTCGGCTTGGCCCTCGAACTGATGCTCCACTGGGTTGTTGTCTACCACCTGATGACCGACGCGATCATCACGAGCTTCTCCAACTGCCGCAACCTGCGACGCGCCACTCTTGGATTGCACTAGGCCTAGGTTTCTAGGTGAAGATCTGATCATGAAGATCTTATATCCAAATAATTCAAGGAACTATTGTCTACCAAACATCTTTGCACGAAATCCTCATCATTTATACAGTTTCACAGGTAAAGTTTTCGGATTTTAATTGTATTTCTTTTCTTGCATTGGTCGCTCTCTTCCGAGGTTTGGCATGTTCACAGGTGGAATGAAACTGAAGTCCAATAAAAAAGCCTTTCCCAGATAATCTTTATACAATGCGTATGTACAAAACAGATTCTTTTAACTCTACGGTGAATATTTACAGAAAGAAAACAAAGAGGATATGCATCATTCCGGTGCATTCCGAGGTCAAAAATTTCACTCCAAAGCTGGAAGACTGGAAGAACATCTTCACGTGATTAGTTACAAAATCAACAAATGGATTTCCTGCAGGACTGATCCCCTGCGTTCCTAAAACTAACAACATTGGTACGATTTGGTATAGAACTCGATACAACTACGCGGCACTTTGTGGGGGTTATTGCACAACCTCCCGCTAAAATATGTACAAAATAGAGGAGCCCCTGCCTACTAGGAGGCCTGCAGGACGTCCGCCTCATCCAGGAGCACCTCCTGGGCAGCGTTTGTACTGGAATGCGCGAGCAGCAGGCTGCTCTCCACCTTGATCTGCGACTGACTCGCCACTGGGACAGCAGCTGGAGCCACTGGAGCGACTATGGCTGAAGCCTCGTGCTTGGCCTGGTGAACCTGCAGCAGGCCTTGGTTGATGCTGGTGAAGCTGCACTGCTCGCACTTGTAGATGATCGAGGAGAGCTCCTGCTCGGGGTGGCGCTTCTGGAGGTGTATCTGCACAGGAGAAAGGAACATTAGGCGCTGCATGGATGCTGCAAACACAGAGATCTAGCGAACCCGAAAGGCGGTGCTCTGGATGGCGCGGAAGTCGCAGTGCGGACAGGAGTAGCGCTTGCGCTCCTTGTGCGTGGCCAGGTGGCGCCGGAAGGCGTTGTGGTCGCTCGTCTCGTGCTCGCAGACGTCGCAGCGGAAGCGCTTCTGCTCCTGGTGGCTCCGCAGGTGGAGCCGCAGGCTGCTCTTCGATCCAAACACGCGCTGGCACTCGGGGCACTCCAGCTGCTCGTTGCGCTCCTTGCACAGGTGCTCCCTCAGGCTCTTCTTCTGCTTGAAGGCCGCTCCGCAGTCCTCGCAGCGATGAGCAACATCCTGCTGCTCCTGCGCCTGCTTACCCATCCCCAGTCCCTGGGTGCGGTGCAGCCGGCGGTGGTTCTTCAGCTGCTTGGTGTTCTTGAAGCCCTTGCCGCACTGCTCGCACTTGTAGTTGCGCTCCTCCGAGTGGATCTTGGCGTGCGTGTTCACCAGCCGCGAGTAGATGGGCGTCTTGAAGCTGCACAGCTGGCAGCAGTAGAGCTCCATGTCGATCTGGTGTGTGCGCCACAGGTGCGTGTGCAAGCAGTTCCAGTTGCTGAACTCCGTCGACCTGCACTCCGGACACACCATCGGCTGGCTGGAGCTCTGGGTGTTGTGGCACCTCCCATGGTACTCCAGGGTGGCCGGCGACTTGAAGCGGAACATGCAGCCCTCCACGAGGCACTTGCCGCCCTCCGGCGCCTGGTTGCCGCTGCCCTGCGGCAGCTTCCTCTTCGACGCCGTTCCGCCCGAGTGCTTGGCTCCGTAGGGCCGTCCGCGTACGGAGGTGCCGCCTCCCAGCAGTGGGGGCTCCACGGCGGCGGGCAGCAGGTTGTTGGCCACGTAGATGCGGGCTGGCTTCTCGGCCGGAGCAGCTGTGGCCTCGGCTGCCAGGGGAACCAGCGGAGGAACGGGCAGGCTGCACAGAGGCGCACTTTGAGCCAGAGGAGTGCTCCCGCCAGAGGAGGAGACGGCCACCAGGGGAGGCACGGCCCCTCCTCCTACCGCTGCCCCTGTGCCCTGTGTGTGTGACTCCTCGGGCGGCGGGAAGAAGTCCTTGACCAGCAGATCCTCGGCAGCGGGAGGCAAGCCCTCCACTTCGCTGGGGGTGGACAGGCCGAGTCCTGCTTCCGGCACCGCCTCCTCCATCCAGGGCCAGCACTCCAGGTCCTCGGCCAGGTCGTAGCCATCCTCGCCGTTCCAACTGTCGCCGATCGAGGGCTGCAGCTCGCCCAGCGGCTGCGGTTGTCCAGCGTCCAGCTGGCGGGCATCCATTTCCAGCGGCGGCTGCTCCACGGGCGGCAGCTCCATCATGGCCATGGCCATCGGCTCCAGGTTGGGCACGATCAGGTGCTCCACCTCGGTGCGGTTCATCAGGTTCAGCTCGTCCACGGTGCGCAGGTGCAGGGTGCCCCTCTGCGGCGCCTTCAGGATGTCCACGTTCTTGATGAAGATCTTCTGCTTGTTGCTGATCGGTGCAGCGGGCGGCGGCAAGTAGTGCTCCAGCTGCACGGGCTGCGGCTCCATCGTCGCGAGGGGGTCACTCAGCGGATGCGGAGGCGGCAAAGGCGGAGGTGGAGGCGGGGTGGCTTCGTCCGCCACAAAATCCACGCCAAAGTCCAGATCCAGGGCACTGAAGCGCGTGTTGTCCAGACCGGAGACCGCTGCTCCGTTGCCATTGAGCACGGAGTCGAAGGGAAAGGCCTCGGAGCACATCTGGGCCAGTGGGGCGAGGCTGGGCTCGAATCCCGGCAGCGGACACGTGGGCGTGAGCAGGGTGTCCGCCTGGAAGACGTCTCCGTCGGCTCCCACAGCTAGACCCACTTGGCCCGGGTCCACTGCCGCCGGGATGCTCCCGTTGAAGCCCATCCCGGGCAGCGCGGAGGGGAGAACCATCGGCTCCTTCAGGATGTCCACGTTGCGGATGTAGATCTTGGGCTGGCGCGGCTTCTCCGGCTCCAGGCCCACGACGGCGGCCTCCAGGAGGCTGTTGTCCGTGACCAGCGGGTGGTTCTGCAGCTGGAAGTCGAAGGGCAGCAGGGCGGGCTCCCTGAGTACGTCCACGCTCTTGATCGATATCTTCTGGCTGGGCTTCTGCGGCGGAGGAGCAGCATTGGCGGCAGGTGCTGGCGGCATGGTCTGCTCGCTGGGCGAGGCACCCACCGCCACTCCTTCCAGCAGGTCCAGTATGTTGCCCGTGGGTCCGCCGTCCGGCATCAAGGGAGGGAAGTCCGGGAGCGGCTCCCTCAGGCAGTCCACGCTCTTGATGAAGATGCGACTCTTGGGTCGGCTTTGGCCGGGCATCTGCGCCTGCCTTTTGGCCTGCGGTTTCCCGCTCAGCAGGGCCAGTGCCTCGCTCTCCTCCATTTGGTGGTCCAGACTGAGGTGCAGGCTGAGCGCATCGCTGCTGTAGAAGATGTTCGAGCAGCCTGCCAGAGAATACGTCAGTAATAAGCCAGCTTCAGCAATCGAAATCAAGATTTCAATGTTTAAAGACTCTTAAGGAACCACTTTTTTTGTTCGAAAAATAAATGAAGTGTACATGCATTTTTTATCACATTTAGGAAACTACTATTTGCCAAGATTCGAATGATTCCTTATGAACTGATCTCTTCTATCCCTTATTGACCTCACCTGGACACTGTCTCCTTTGCTGCTCCAGGACTCCGAAGCAATTGGCCAGATGGAGGTGCTGCTGGAGGCGCACCTGGCAAAGGCTGAGGAACGGGCAGTTGGGACAGCGGAGGATCAGCGGCGGACCATCCTGGACCAGCGCCTTGCCCTCCACACTGGCGCAGCTCGAGTTGCGAGTGGGCGGCGTGGGCGTGGCATTGAGACGCTCCTTCGCCGCCGCCTCCGCCAGTTCCGATTTGATCAGCTCCGCCTCCGATTTGATTTCGGCCGTGCGCCGGCGAAAGGCGTTGTTGCGGAAGCTCTTCTCCGGCTGCTGCAGGTCCGTGGTGTGGATCTGGACGAACGGAATGCCCGGATTGGGTTGGGAGTCCCCCGGCGCATCTGGGGATCTAATCCCGCCATCCGGAAGCCACACAGATGTCCCAGAGGCATTGGCATTGGTCGCAGAGGTGGACGGGGGGCCAGCTCCCGCTCCGATGACCAGTTCGTCGTCGAAGAAGCCTCCGAAGTTGGAGTCCTGCTCCAACGAGTGCACCGGCGTGGAAAGCGACAGATCCTGGTGCGGATGCGGATGCGGGTGGGTGTGCGAATGCGGATGCGGATGCGACAGCGGGAGCAAGTGCAGCTGGAAGACACACGGCGTGTTTTTCTGGCCAGAGGAACTCGCAGGTTGCTCACCTGGTTGCCGCCGTAGAATCCCGAATAGGCCGCATCACTCATCGTGGCTTCCGGACTATCCTGGCTCTGATGGCCGGTCTCCGGATTCCGATTCCAGGTCTACTGTTGTCTGGGGCACAAGCCTTCTAATTCCGCATCACAATTTACATTACGCAGACAAAAACTTTTGATCACAAAACACTGATAGCAAAACAGCTGTTGCCGTGCTAAGTGTGGCAGCGCTGCTGCCAGAAACGTATTAGGTCACACTGCCGCGTCATGTTTTGTCGTACGTAACATGCCTAATTAATTTAATAGTTTAAGAAAACAACGTATTTAAACTAAAAAAAATTATTACAAAGACGATATGATATTTAAGTTTTTAACTTAATGATTTAGTTTAATTAAACATAGCCAAACAATATATAAAAGTTTCGCATGCCGAAAATACTGAAAGGTTATCGAAGTTATCGAATTTGTCGAACGTTTACCACCACTAGCGGCAACTACCAAAAAATAGCGGACTTTCGTGAATCTAAGTGAACAATTGCAAAAATTCTTAATTTCAGACGACGAGCACATAAATAAGCACACAAAATGCCTCGAATTATGATAAAGGGCGGCGTGTGGCGCAACACGGAGGTAATTACCAATCAGATTGTCCATTTACAGCTCCGCTTACATGAGTTCCCCTTTTTCAGGATGAGATCCTCAAGGCGGCGGTGATGAAATATGGCAAAAACCAGTGGAGCCGCATTGCCTCCCTGCTGCACAGGAAGTCGGCCAAGCAATGCAAGGCCAGGTGGTACGAGTGGCTGGATCCCAGCATCAAGAAGACCGAATGGTCGCGCGAGGAGGACGAGAAGCTGCTCCACTTGGCCAAGCTGATGCCCACGCAGTGGCGCACCATTGCCCCGATAATCGGGAGAACGGCAGCCCAGTGCCTGGAGCGCTACGAGTACTTGCTGTAAGTAGTGTAAAGTCATCTGTGACATGAACCCCAGTACTAATCCATCCCCCACAGCGATCAGGCGCAACGCAAGGAGGATGGCGAGGACACCATGGACGATCCGCGCAAGCTGAAGCCCGGCGAGATCGACCCCAATCCAGAGACGAAGCCGGCGCGACCCGACCCCAAGGACATGGACGAGGACGAGCTGGAGATGCTGTCCGAGGCACGCGCCCGCCTGGCCAACACGCAGGGCAAGAAGGCGAAGCGCAAGGCGCGCGAGAAGCAGCTGGAGGAGGCCCGCCGCCTGGCCACGCTCCAGAAGCGACGGGAGCTGCGTGCCGCCGGTATTGGCAGCGGGAACCGCAAGCGCATCAAGGGCATCGACTACAACGCGGAGATTCCCTTCGAGAAGCGGCCCGCCCTGGGCTTCTACGACACCTCCGAGGAGCACCTGCAGAAGAACGAGCCGGACTTCAACAAGATGCGGCAGCAGGACCTGGACGGAGAGCTCCGCTCCGAGAAGGAGGAGCGCGAGCGCAAGCGCGACAAGCAGAAGCTGAAGCAGCGCAAGGAGAACGAGGTGCCCACGGCCATGCTGCAGAACATGGAGCCGGAGCGGAAGCGCTCCAAACTCGTTCTGCCCACGCCGCAGATCTCGGACATGGAGCTGCAGCAGGTGGTCAAGCTGGGCCGCGCCAGCGAGATGGCCAAGGAGATAGCCGGCGAGAGCGGGATCGAAACGACGGACGCCCTGCTGGCCGACTACTCCATCACGCCCCAGGTGGCGGCCACTCCGCGGACCCCGGCCCCGTACACGGACCGCATCATGCAGGAGGCCCAGAACATGATGGCCCTCACCCACACGGAGACGCCGCTCAAGGGCGGCCTCAACACGCCGCTGCACGAGTCCGACTTCTCCGGCGTGCTGCCCAAGGCGGCGGCCATAGCCACGCCAAACACGGTGATTGCCACGCCGTTCAGGACTCAGCGCGAGGGCGGAGCAGCCACTCCCGGCGGCTTCCTGACGCCCTCCTCGGGCGCCCTGGTTCCGGTGAAGGGTGCTGCGGGAGCCACCCAAAATACCCCCGCCTACGTGCGGGACAAGCTGAGCATCAACCCCGAGGAGAGCATGGGCGTCACCGAGACCCCCCGCCCTGTACAAGAACTACCAGAAGCAGCTGAAGTCCACTCTGCGCGAGGGGCTGTCCACGCTGCCCGCTCCCAGGAACGACTACGAGATCGTGGTGCCCGAGCAGGAGGACAGCGAGGCGATGGAGACCAGCTCGGAGCCGGCTGTCGAGGACCAGGCGGACGTGGACGCCCGGCTGCTGGCCGAGCAGGAGGCGCGCCGCAAGCGGGAGCTGGAGAAGCGCTCGCAGGTGATCCAGCGCAGCCTGCCGCGCCCCACGGAGGTGAACACCAAGATCCTGCGCCCGCAGTCCGAGAAGCAGAACCTCACGGAGCAGCAGCAAGCCGAGGAGCTGATCAAGCACGAGATGATCACCATGCAGCGTGAGTACCTCTAAAATACTTTATAAGTATTTAAAGCTTAACACTATTCCTGCCGCAGTTTACGACTCTGTAAAGGATCCGGTGCCGGGACAGTCGCAGCACAAGCTGGAGCAGCTGCAGAGCTACTTCAAGGCGAACCCCTACGAGGACATCTCGCAGCAGGAGCTGGCCAGGGCCAAGCAGATGCTCGCCGAGGAGATGGAGGTGGTGAAGGAGCGCATGTCACACGGCGAGCTGCCCCTCGACGTCTACGCCCAGGTGTGGCAGGAGTGCCTCGGCCAGGTGCTCTACCTGCCCTCGCAGCACCGCTACACCCGCGCCAACCTGGCCAGCAAGAAGGACCGGCTGGAGTCGGCCGAGAAGCGGCTGGAGACGAACCGCCGCCACATGGCGAAGGAGGCCAAGCGGTGCGGCAAGATCGAGAAGAAGCTCAAGATCCTCACCGGCGGCTACCAGGCGCGCGCCCAGGTGCTGATCAAGCAGCTGCAGGACACCTACGGCCAGATTGAGCAGAACTCCGTCTCGCTGTCCACGTTCCGCTTCCTGGGCGAGCAGGAGGCCATCGCGGTGCCGCGCCGCCTCGAGTCGCTGCAGGAGGACGTGCGCCGGCAGATGGACCGCGAGAAGGAGCTGCAGCAGAAGTACGCCAGCCTGGTGGAGGAGCGCGAGTCCCTCTACTCGCAGATCGAGCAGATAACGGGCGTGAGGCCCACGGCCCAGCAGCTCCTGCCCGAGCGGGAAACATAGAATATAATCCTAATCCGCGATTTAAACACTCAAGTCAGCTCTAATTTAGAATAAAATATCACACAGAATACCTAACCGAACACCCAGATTGGATTTGGATTTGGATCCCTCCTAGATTAGTGGCCGTACTTCTGGTAGACCCACTCCTTGTTGTCCAGCGGGCAGACGAGCCGCGTCTTCAGCCAGCGCGCGATGCAGTGGTAGTGGAAGGCGTGGTTGCACTCGCCCCAGGCCACCGTGCACTCGTCCTGGTTGGCGTTCGGGTCCGCCTGGCACTCGATGCACAGGTTCATGATGTGGTTGCGGCAGATGGCGCAGTTCTCCACCGCCACGTCCCACGACCACAGCGCGTGCGCCACCCACTTCTTCACCACGAAGCGCTCCCCTCGCGCCATCCCCTGGCCACCAACTGATCCGCCTGCTGCTCCCCCCGCCGCTCCACTGCAGGACGCCTCGTCGTCGTTGAAGTCCAGGTCGTGGAAGTCCTCCGTCTCCTCGACCTCCGCCTCGTCGGCCATCGTGTCTGCCACTCGAAATGTGAAATTTTTGTACTTTCCCCCAAATATGTGCTCCGCTTCGAACACGGAATCGATTTAAGCCCCACATCCCCAACTTGACATGATAGGAAAAGAGAGGATTCAGGATCTAACTGGGCAGTGGCATGGCCAGCTGAATAGCTAAGTCACTTGGCTTAGAAAAAATGTTGATAAAACAGAAGAGAAAACGAAACAAAATACATAGTTGTAGTTCTTTACGGATTCGTTGGTCGTAGGTTTTGAGCCAAGATGGTCAACATGGTCAAATCAGTGAAAATGCATCTAGCCATAAACAGAAACTCTTCAGAACTTTTAGAGGTATGCAACATTACGAATTAAGAGCGTGTTGTTCGAGCTCTGGTGTTTTCGTAGAAGATCTTTGAGGTTCTCCATTTCAAGAGTGCAAAATAAAACCCGTAACGTTTTATATATATCTATATATTTTTATATATATCTACATTTATAGAAATAGAACCTAACTTGTATTAATAAGGAGGAATATCCAAGTCAACTTAAGAAGAATTAAAGAATGTCATCAAGAACGTCATCAAGCCATTAATGACATTGTCATTAATGGGTTTTCCATTTCCTATGGAAAATGATTCCAACTAGCAGTATGATTTTACAAATAACGTTTGGAATGGAATTCCTTAGACGGTCTGATCGGTTTGGGGAAGGCTCTTTGCCATTCTCAGGTGCTTCTTGCCGATGAGGTGCTGCTGCAAGGTGGTCGAGTGGTTCATCGTCATGTTGCACGGCTGGCAGAAGTACTGTCCGGCTGGAGTGCGGTACATGGCCAGATCCACGGGATCCAGTTTCTCGGGCAGCCGCGGCACTTCCGCAGGGCAGGCGTCCGCAGATCCTGGATCCTGGAGCCCCGCAGTCTTCATGTTCCGCTGGTGCCTGGCTCCCGCCAAGTGGGTCTGCATCTGGGGGGCGGAGGTGACCACTATTTTGCACAGGCTGCAGCTCCGCTCCTTGTCCTCCGCCTGGGCCTGGCCCACCAGGGGCACATCCTCCGAGGAGGCGTTCTCCTCTTTCTGCAGGAACCGAGTCCCGATGCCATAACGTCCATCGGAAGGAGTCGCTCCTTGCCCCTCGAAGTTACCGCCCGCGCGAATCCACTTGGATCCATTCTGGGCTCCTGCGCCCGATTGCTTGGCCAGGCGCTGCTCCAGCAACTTGTGCTTCCTGCCCAGGTAGTGCTGGCGGGCGTGCATGGAGGAGGTGAGGTCCAGGTCGCAGAGGTCGCAGTGGAAGGCGTTGGGCCCGATGGGTCCCTGCTTGGCCAGCCGCTTCACCGGAGGAGCCTGCAGACCCGCCTCCGTGTAGTTCTTCGCCAGCCAGGCGCTGATGTGCCGGTCGTGGGCCTTGGACTCGTAGTGGTCGCGGGCGCACTTCCTCGAGGTCATCTGCACCTTGCAGAGCTCGCAGTTCAGGGCTCCGATCAGCCGGTTCAGCTCCTCCGGATAGCTCTCGTCGCGTCCGGGAAACAGGACCAGCTTGTTGTCCGCCTCCCCGGAATCCCCATCCCCTTGTTTGGCCTTCCGCTTCATGGGCTTCGGGGATGGGTTACCGGGATCAGAGCTTCCTGCTTGCTTGCCCGGTGCCACCAGGCGATTGCCGGTTACGATTTCCGGCGCTGGTGGAGATTCGTTCCGGATGCCTTCTGTGGCAGCGCGCGGAGCTGCTCCCGTCGCCAAGTGCGGGATGTGGAAGCTGCTCAGGAATTCCGGGGAGCTCATGTCGCGACTGAAATCGAAATCTATAGCCCAAGCAAAGCTAGAGATGGCAGCTCAAAACTCACGCATGCGCAGAACCTCCCAAATTCAAAGGAAATTCTTCCATTTAAAAAATAAATAACGGTTTTAGGATAGAAATTCATAAATCGATCCACTAACTGCACAAAAATCTCCTGGTTCATACACTCTTTCTTTGAGCAAAGAAGATAAATATCGAAAAGAAAGGATAAGGATTTTGATATTAATCAAAAACAGACTTTTCCAAGCACCTTTTAAATTAATGAAGGGGAGAATGCCTTTAAGAAACCCATGTAAACATTTTACCGATACCAAACTATCATCTCTAGGAAAACTTTGTATTAGCGCTCTTATTTAAAAGCATGAGCTGTTTGGTTTTCAGATAAGAGCAATCATGATTGAATGTTTTGAAATCGCTGTTCTCATATCATCTATGCCAGTTTTTATTGGACATACGCAGTGATATAAAGCAGCCTGTTATGATCATTATTTAATAAACTCCTTTTGGACACTCTGCATAGTGTCAATAGAAGAGTTTATCTGATCTTTATCCGCCCTTTGATAAGGTTATAAATATTTAACAAACACTTGCCCTTTTTGTTATATTTTTATTGGGTTTTGTTTAGCATAAATACATTTATAAATTGATTTGGTGCTAAAATACTAACAGTTTTATCATCTCTTCTTGTCTCTCAGTGTATAAGGATCGTGTTCTGCATTTGCGTATTGTTCTCGACCGTTCAGCGTCGGATGGGTGTAAATAAGTTGCCATTTGTTTCGCTTCGCTTTGTATACTTCGATTAGGTAGTTCAGATTAGGTTCACTTCGTTAACCACTCCGTGTTGGCTTTGTAAATTTAGAATCGCTTCCCATGCAGCACTTTCAACGACTGACGGAGATAACTATAATATAATTGGGGGTGTGTCTAGGAGTAACTTAAGAACGCACTCGATAATACAATATACGGGGTCTGTAATAGTAATGATATACACTCAGCTTGAATCATATGTCTACGGGTACTAGAAGTTAGATAGATTTAGACGTAGGTTCGCATAGAGTAAGAAAAACCCGAATCGTTGTGGGGCGATCGAAGCGCAAGATTGTAGATTGTCCTGCCCCTCCCTCCAAATCCCTAATCCCTAATCCTCGTCGTCGTTGATGGCGGCACTGCTGCGGGAGATCTTCATGTAGGCGGCGCAGATGCACTCGCACACGAAACGGTACTGGCTCTGCAACACAAAACCAAGAGCAATGAGTCACACAATCCATAGATAGATGGATAGATCGCCTCGTGGACACTCACCACGTTCTGCACCATGCAGGCGCGCTGATCGCGCATGGTGCGCACGATGTCCAGGGGATAGACAGGCTCGCGCGCCTCCATCAGGGCCAGGGCGGTGTCCATCAGGATGAGCACTCCAGTGCGTCCGATTCCCGCCGAGCAGTGGACGATCACGGGTGGGTTGGCGGCACTGATGCACCTGTGGAAGAAAGGCGAAGGTTTGATCCACCAATTCGAACTTCTTAGCCCACTTCTTAACTCACTGATGCACGCTCGTCGAGACGGGCGTCTCGTCCTCCGGAGTGGCGCCGTTGCTGGCCGCGCACTTGCGCTCGCGCATCAGGCCGCCGTTCTCGTCGGCGTCCGCGTCGGCGTCCATCAGGCGCACCTGCTTTAGGCTCTCCTCGATCTCCTGGAGGAGCGTGCGGTTGCGGGCGGCGCGCACCCGCTCCGTGAACTCGAGAAAGAGGTTGGGGTCGGAGGGCACGCAGTGGTCCGGCCAGGCCAGGTACTGCATGTGGTGGATGTGCCGCTGCTCGTGCTTGTCCTTCAGCACGAACTCGCGGAACACAAAGCTGCCCGTCTCGTCCGGCTTCTCGCTCAAGCAGCGCACCGAGAAGCCCTCCGCCAGCTGGAGCTCCTCGCCGGTGACCGGCCAGTACTGGTGGCACTTCTGGCGACCCGACTCCATCACCGTGGTGAGCATCACCAGCAGGTGGCTGCTCTCCTGCTGCACCATGCGCCAGAAGTCGGTCGTGGTGCTGGCCAGCGGTCCCTGGGTGGCTATGTACCGGTTCACCGCTCCGCCGGGAATCTCCATGTTCACGTAGTTGGCGTTGATGTAGTCGCCGGTCAGCGAGTTCACCAGAGAGACCCGCGTGCAGTCATCTGAAAGGAGGAATATGGTATTTCGTAATCAGGACTCTCAACTCAGGAAGATGCCAAACCTACACGGCGATATGTCTCGGTAGCGGTTCTTGGCCGCGTTGGCCGGCTTCCGGGCCTCGGTGATGGCCAGGTCGGGGTTCTTCCTGTACATGAGCTCGTACTGGGCGAGGAGGGCGCCCGAGGCCAGGCCGTCGCTGAGCAGGAGCAGGCTCTGCGTGAAGAGGGCGTCCCCGTCGAGGAGGTTCGAGTGCGAGCCAATCTCGTCGCTCTCCGGAACGTACTGGTAGAGCGGCTCCTCCTCCAGGAGCAGCGGCACCGACCGCTGGGGCCGCACGGTCAGCAGCAGCTCCCCGCTGGCCTGGTGCCGGCAGTCCCGGATCATGGCCACCACCTGCTCGTGCCGCAGGCCGTGCACGTCGCGTCCGTTGATCATGAGCACCTCGTCGCCCTCGCAGACGCGCGGCGTGCAGCGGTCGGCGGGCGTGTTGGGCACCACCTTGGACACCTGCACGGGCAGGCTCAGGTCCACGCCGCCCTTCACGTTGAACCCGTAGCGCCCCTGCTCGTCGGCCTGCAGCCGGATGGTGATGAGGTCGCTGCCGCTCTCCGGCTGCTGCTGCTGACCCACTGCGTCCGCAATGGTGGTGGGCAGCAGGAGCGGGCTGTGCTGGCCGGAGCTGTAGGCGGGCGGCATTGGCGAGGGCGAGGCGGACTCGAAGCGCCGCGTGCACTGTTCGATGAAGCCCACGTCGCTGGAGGAAAGGAGGGGGTTTAAATATAAGCCATTTGCCAGGTTTGCCAGGAATCAACTCACAGCTGGATGTCGTACTCGTCGCTCTGCTGCTCCCAGGCCTTCCTGGGCATGGAGTCGGCCTCCTTGGAGGTGACCTTGTTGTCGTGCGGCCGGCTCGTCTTGGTGATGGTCAGAATGGTGCCCCCGCCGGAGGCCGGTTTGCCGTTGTTGTGCGAGTTGGCGCTCTCGGAGCCGCTGTGCTGCTGCAGCATCGGAGTGCCGCCCGAGGAGCCCGAGGTGCCGCCGCCTCCGCCGGCAGCTCCGAGGAGCCGCTTGCTGGGCGAGCGCACGAAGACCTTGTGGATGCGGCCGCGCTGCTTGGACTCCTGCACCGCCTGCAGCTCCGTGCGGCCCGAGTAGTAGAACTTGCTGCCCAGGCTGATGTTGAGGAAGCGCGAGAGGCGGTGCGGCCGCTTCAGGCGGAAGAAGCTGTGGTGCTCCACGCAGGACTTCCACAGCGCCTTGGCGTGCTTATGGCTGCTCATCCCGAAGCCGAGCAGGGTGTCGTAGCTCTCGCTGGGCTCGCGGCGCAGCTGGATGAAGAAGTCCTTGCGCTTGAACGACACCTTGACCATCTTGCTCCACGAGAAGGTGTTCACCCGCAGCGCGTGCTGGAAGACAAGCAGCCCCACCGCCGAGACGCCCAGCTGCAGCTCCTTGCCGTTGGAGTCGGTGGCCCGGTGCAGGTCGATCCCGTACAGCTCCAGCCGCTTGGCGTGCTCCAGGTAGTTGTACTCCGCGTCCGCGGGCAGCTGGCCGCGGTGCAGCTTGTGCAGCTCGCCCACCTTGCGCTCCGTCTCGGGCGTCTGGTCGCAGAGCAGCTGCATCCCGCTCAAGTAGCCGGGCTGGTGTTCCGCCGCATTGAAGTCGCCCAACTCGGCTGTGGACCGAACAGAGGGAATGGTTATTGGGGGATGGACCAAGGGAGATGGACTGCAGACTCACACTGCACCGTGTAGCTGGCAAGCAGGCACTGGGTGTTGCTGGAGCATGGCAGCTTGCCCAGCAGGATGTGGCGCTTGATCTGCAGGTAGAACTGGTAGCGGGTGAACTCCTCCTGCAGTCTGCTGGGGTCGCTTACAAAGAACTGCAAAGAGTGCGGATCAGTATTCAGTATTCTTGGTTGGAGAGATCAGGATGCGCGACATTACCTTAACCCTAAACTCTAATAATGGAACGGCATCGTTGTCGAGGGAGACGCTGCTGCATTGCTTCTTGAACTGCTTCTGGGCATCGACCCATCTCTGAAGGAGGAAAACAGATCGGGGGTTACTGGTCAGAGTTACTATTCAGGATGTTCCTTGACTTACCACAACGTCGCCCGGCTTCTGGGGAAACAGAAGGCCAAAGTAGTCCCTTTCGGATAGCTCGAGGTATTGAAAGACCTGATCCAAGAGTTCAGAGCCTTTCGCACGTTTCTGAATTGGGTTCGAAATATATAATAATGAATTGTTTAGGTTAGCTAATTAGGCTGTCCTCCCATTTTCTGGGCCAAATTTAAACTCAAATAATAAGCAACCTGAGTAGCAAGTCTTCGCTTCGATTTCTCCCCCAATTGTCTGCGATGCAATTACGGTGATTAAATGACTTCCATTAGGCTGCAATTTGGCAGACAGATTCCATTTCTAGCATAATTTTCATCTGCCACAACCGCACACACTTGATCATCGAGGTGAAAGAAAGCGAAACCTCGGACGGAGATGGAAAACAATGCGGACAAGTGCGTGTCTGGAGATGCTACGCGAAAACGAAAGCTATCTCAGGGTGCAGAGCCAAAAGCGAGCAGATAAAAGTGAATAAATTGATGGTAATGACTAGCCAACGAGACCCCAGAGACTTTCTTTGCTAAGACCACGATTATGCGCATAGACAATGGAGTTACTACGCAAAGACTTGCTACTCGAATAATAAACCTATAATGCTATACAACGCCATTTACATGTTGCCATGCAAACGGGGTGGGTGGTTACCTCGATCCGAAAGGTGTGCGTGATGTCATCTAGGAAAAGGACGGTGACGCATTGCTGCCGTTGCGGATTCTTCTTGTCGCGCGCCAGTTCTGGGCCGCCTCCTCGCAGGCGAAAGGTTCTGGTCAGGTTGTTCAGTCGGAAGCGCTCAAACATGACCGAGCTCCACGAACTCCATGACGCGGGCTGGGATCGATTGGCTGGGGAGCGAGGGGTGCGAGGGGACGTACGTCTCGTTGGAGGGCGCTGGTTGCGGAGAGGGAGCTCCTTGGTGGCGGGACCTCTCCTTCTGGCTCGGCTTCTTCTTGTTTATTCGATAAATTGGCAAGAGTGTGTTTGTTTGCTTTGTGTGCTGGCTGGCTGGCTGGCTGGCTGGTTGTTTTGGTTCCAGTTAACTCCTTGGCTGCCTCCTCGGCTCCTTTTCGTGTGGATGGATATCTGATTGACTGAAACAGAAGAGCGGGTGAGAACGAATCCGAATGAGTAGCGACTTACGGCTCGATGAAGGCGCAACAGCAACAACGTACTCTCGCCTCCTCTTCCGCTGCATTTGTTTATTTTCTCAGTTATTGTTGTTATTTTATGTCCAGCACGCACACTCACTCACTGCCTAACAACACACGGGGTTATGGCTCTGGCTCTGGCTTTTCTGCCCCTCATTTCCATATCCCCCGCGGGATTGGGTGGTGCATACTTCCACGTAGAGCCAGCGTAACCCAGCAAAACAGCAAACAAACGACTTCGTTGTCGACTCGAGCATTGAGTGCCGGGTGACTAATAATTTGTCTTTGAGGCCTTTCCTTGCCTCTCACCTTGCAGCGCGCAGCTTTTCTTTGCTGTTGTCTAACTTGCAGATAAGGTAAAGTCAGCCATTATATGACGGGCACTGCTAAAGCAAGCTCGCTTCCCACTTGTGCACTCAGGAAAAAGTTATGAACTCTCCGAGTACGTTTTAAAATACCTTTCCCATTGACAAACTCAGTGCTTTCAGTGCAGTTGCCCCAAGCCGTGTGCCACAAATCGTCTCTGCTAATGATTGATGTGCCGTGTAATTGGCTTAAATGCTCTCGACTAACACACATATCTGTGTGTGCATAATTGTAAGCTCCGTTCCACCTATTCTACCTTTCAACCTTATTTTCCGCAGACGTTGACTGTTGCCATAAACTGGGTTAAACCCGCTTTTGTCGAGCTGCGTAAAGCGGACAAGAAGGGCCAAGAAGTTTGATGCAGAGCTCTTCCCCTGTTACCATGCAGTTGCCAGTAATTATCGAGCGGGGGCTAACTAGCTAGTTCCCTTGAGTCAGTGGCCGCCTTTAGGAGCTGATCGAACGCCGAGGGGTCACTTATCGGGGGCGTTAAGCCTTTTATCGCAACGGAAGGTTGCTTTCCTCAGCCGATTACACACAGCCCCATCATTATCTCCTCTGTTCTTTTTAGCGGAGAAAGCGCAATTGTCATTGTCGCGAGTAAAAATATCTCAGCAAAAGATATTTCCGTAGACATCTCTATACATCCCACCTATTTTTCCCACTTGGTTTGGCACTGCCAATATCTTGGGCCGCTACTGTTTCTCCCGGGTTATCAACAGGTTGGCCCAGCAAAATCGAAATGTTTTTAAGACAAACAAGGGTTGCGTCATATTCTGACGCCCACAAGGCAGGGCTAAACTACCAGATGAATGGGAAGGAGTACCAGGGGGAAGTGCCCGACATCGGGCGCCTTATTTGCACGGAAGCCAGTTTGGTTCGGTGACCATTTAAGGCCAGGGCAGCTCGATAATGAACGTACGCGTACATCGCACTCTCTTGGACTTTTCATTATGAAATCGAAATCGAAATGGACAACACCTAGGCGATTATGCCCCAATGGGAGCACCATTGTTCGACCGATCTCCCTCGCTTTTTCGGTTCGTTGACCGACTTTCTGTGCGAAATTATCATGGGGACACACATTTGCATGCGAGTTTGTTTGTTTGCCCAGCTCTTTCCCCATTCCGCCGACCGAATAGCGGTCTCCAGAGCAGAGACAGCTTCCGTTTCTTTCTGGGGCTCGTTATTGCTCGCTCGGAAACCTGTTTGCAGCTATACAGCCGACCCAGCACTTTCTTAGGGCATCCCCCTGACCCCTGCCTCTCGTGGAGTACTTCAGACCGAGTTGGGATTGCTGAGGGCTCATCGCCTGGGGTTGCTCAATCAGCGAGGGCATTCCAGAGAGCAGGGCAGAGGCAACGGACACGATGGATCCGCTGTTAGGTAATGAAAACCGCAGGTTGGCACTTCTTAGGAAACGTAATTCGAGAAACGCAAGCCGCAAAGCACAAAGCCTAGCGAAAACAAAGGGGGCGTAATGAAGGGGGCGTGGGGGGCGGGAGGAAACTCGATGACACTCAACCTTTATTGCACGCGACATCCTTCAAGCTTCCCTTTTCAGGACGAGCCGCTTTCGACGCCTGGCAACCCCAATCAAAGTCAGATTGGGGAAAATTCTGAATTTAGTCACTCCGTGATAAAGTCAAATAAAATCCAAGCCTTGCAACCCCGTTTTTATGGGCAAAATTAAATTTTTCCCAGGGTTGTGTGTGGTCCACCTGGAGGCAGCACAGCCTGGAAAAGTAAAAACGGGGAGCTGTGCGGAAAACAGGTTATAATACACGATTAATTTTCTTTCGTGCCGGGGACGCATCAATTAGGCCAGTCTGGCATTAATTATCGGATGGCGTATGCATTTGTGGGGTTTGTTTTATGCCTGCCTATACCGTTATGCGCCAGGGCTGCCATGTGTTCCGTTGTGGAAGGGGAGGCGACCCCTGGAAATGGATTGGGTCTGCAACGAAGGCGGGGCTTAGTCCGCTTATCGCTGTTTGCCTTTCAATTTTTATTGCTCTCGGGGCAGGGGAGGCGGAGGGCGAGGTATTGGGGGCACCCCGTGCGGTTGCTCAGTGCTCAACTTTCCGAATATGCTATTTTCGTGTTCATATTCCACATGCAACACAGTCGCCGGCTGAAAACCCGGGCGACACTAACACAGTCCCACCCTGGCGCACTTGCACAAAACTGAGTAAATTTGACATTGAGTTAAGAGGAAACACAGTTAATGGCAACTACATAAAATTACACCTTAAATTTAATTAAAACTCAACATCAAGTCAAAATGCCAATCAGCGAGCAATGAGAATTCAAACATTTTGATTTGATTACGTTTGATTCTCAATAACTTGGTTTTCCTAAAACGGATTTTTCAAGTGTAGAAACTCAGCTGATTGGCGTTTCTTCCCCTTTCCTTTTCATCCTTTCCTACATATATTCCTACACTAGTTTTTTCCTTTTACCGTTTATCTTTTGTTTGAGGAAATGCAGTTGTGTTTTGCTTGACAAACAAATTGACGGTTTGATGGGCGAATTAAAGGGGGGTGGCAGTTGCAGTTGCGGTTAATTGACGAATTTGTAAACAAACAATCAACGATTAATTGACAGAGAGCGGAAGGGGGGAATCTTCCGCTTTTTTGCTCTCTTTTCTTCACTCATCTTTATCTTCGCCTTTTCTGTAATGCATGTGAGTGTGCGTGCACATCTTTGTCTCTTTCTCTCTCTCTCTCTACCGCCTGCAATAAAATCAGGAACAGGCTGCATTGGACGAGAAACCCTCCGCGAGAATGAAAACAATAATTATACCGACGGGAGCGAAAAGGGAGTTGCAACACAAATGGAGAGAGGAGGCCCTACATTTTTTTCTTTATTTTTTCTTTACTACTAAAACCAACTACAATATTAACTTGTTCCTTTATTCGGGAAATGCTAAATATGTTTTCCTCGCGCATTCAAACCGAGACAGCAAAAGTCACACGCACGCACGGTGCACAGCACGACACTTACACACTCGCAGCCGCTTCGTGGAAAAGTCAACAAAAGTCGAAAAACAAAGTAATCGAAATTACACAGACGGATGGACAATAAACATAAGTTTGCGGTTTACTTTTTAAGTTAGGTGCGTCCGTTTACTTGGGGTTTCTCGAAAACGGAAGAAACGAAAACAAACCGAAAGAAACTGAACCGACGGCGATGAAAAAATAGACTGCTTAGTGTTGCCAGACTCACGGTCTGGCTTTCCCCCAAATCAGTTTGGACCTAAGTTGGCATCACCGACAAACCTTTTCATCTACCTAGTAAAAAGTTGGTTGTAAACTTTGACTGCGCTTTCACTTGATTTTATCGATTAATTTTGCAATTCTTCAGATGCAAGCTGACATTTTTTTCAATAAAAAAAAATACTATATCTTATTTAAAATTTATAATAAAAAATGGTTCTTGTTTTACGAACTGAGTCTCTAGTGCCGTTAGCATGAGTCCCATTGATATTCCCAAGTACTCTTAAGAGTAGAGAACCGCATCGAGTTCATGATCAAACTTGCTCAAACCGATCACAACTCAACTCAGCGCTTCGCTACGAAGTCGTACGATCGAGTTTCGGCCACAAAACGATCGAGTTCCAAGCAGAAAACTGCAACGAGAATGATCGTTCATGTTCGATCAAACTTGCTCAAACCGATCACAACTCAACTAGCTTATAATAAGCTAATCTGGCAACACTGATTCAAAATAACAAAGGCGTAATGTTACGAATCGAGTGGGAAAGATGGTTTCGCGCATTTCAAATATGTATCGCTGCTGAAGAGATTGAAACACCTACCAGGAAACGAAATAAGTTGCTTCACTTGGGAGACTTCCAATTGCAAACGGTTGCTTTCTCTTTACCCGATGCTCTAGTAGACCCCGATAAGAACAAAGAAGTCGACGAATTCTTTGTGCTGGTTGAAAAGCTAAATGATTATTTCTCACCGAAACAAAACTCAACCTTCGAACGGCATATTTTTACCAGTACTGCTCCCACCGCCACCGGGCTTGCTTCTCGGGGGCTGAATTTATTCCAAACATTAATCGTTTGTAGCGGAACAAACCCGTTGGGCTTATAAATGTTGTTATCTGTCGGCTTGCCTCATCCAGTTCTAATTGATGGTAAATTGAATTGAAAAGTATGTAGCATCTTTCAACTTTGTCATCAACAATTCTAAAGTAGGCAGTGGGTAGTGTTCCCACAGATAGATTGAACTAAATCAACACCCACCGCGACCAATTGTACTCATACTAAATGTAAGCAACATTCTCGAAGATAAATTGCCGCTCACACAAAACGGTTCGATCGAACAAAATCATCAGATTGGAACTGAATGTTCGCTTTGAGCACGATCGCTTACGCAGAGAGTTACCCAAGCGGTTCGATATCTCAAATAGGCTATAATTCTTAATTTTTATACATTAATGTACTGAACTGAGGGTTTATTAATGAAAAAATGCAGCTTTATATATACATACTGCTTTATAAAAATCAGCTTTTTTCTTAACTTTTTTTTCGGTTATTCCGCTTTTTTTTTGTTAAGCTTTTTTTTTCGTTGATTTTGTTACTCAAAAGAAATGACGCCACTGCGATTACGATAGGATACATACATTTCACAAAAAATCCGATCGAGTTTGATCGAGAAAATTGTGATCGTTGCTGCTCTCTGACGCCCACTTCTACTGCTGTTAAGTAAATGGTCGGTCAGATCTTGCAGGAAAGGGAAGATGATTCACCACCTTGTAGCGGCAGCCTTGCTGCTGCTGGCCGCACAAAAAACGTGGGCGGACATTCCCGATTGCGACTTCTTTGACACTGTGGATATCTCGGCAGGACAGAGACTCCCCAATGGCTCTTACTTATACGACGGCCTGCTCATACCGGCCCACTTGACGGGTAGCTATGACTTCAAGCTTCTGCCGGACGACTCCAAGGAGGAGGTAAAGAGCCACGTAAGGGGATGTGTCTGCAAATTAAAGCCCTGTGTTAGGTTCTGCTGTCCCCACGACCACTTAATAGACGGCGTCGAGTGCCACGAGAGTGAGGAGGCGATGGACGAAATCCAGGAGGTGAACGTGACCCTCAGCGACGGTTCGGTGGTCTCGAGGCGGGTCAAAACCGACCTCATCGTGCAGTGGGACTTGCCCATGCCCTGCGAGGAGTTGTTCTACCTGGACAACCAATACGAGATGGACGAGTGGACTCTGTTCGAGGTTCGGGGTTTCCTCTAGGGTGTGCCAAGTTCTGCAAGTCTAATCAGTATCACCGCTTAGAATGGAACCTTTCGCCGCCACCACGATAACGCGATCCTGAACAAGCGGGAGTACTGCCTTCAGCATCGGAACTTCACGGACGGCAACGACACCCTCGTTCGGATTGCACCGCACAACTGTCTGATCTTGGAGTCCAGAACGGGACAAACCTTCAGTGAGCCCCACTCATTAGCCCACAAGCCCACTGAGTTTCACTTTCCTTCACCTCCCTCCAGTCATGGTCACATCGCTGGTCTGCATGCTCCTCACGATCTGCGTGTACCTGGTGGTCAAGAAGCTGCAGAACCTGCACGGCAAGTGCTTCATCTGCTACATGGTCAGCCTCTTCATGGGCTACCTCCTCCTGCTGCTGGACCTGTGGGAGCTGTCGCTCGGGTTCTGCCTCACGGCGGGCTTCCTGGGCTACTTCTTCGTGCTGGCCGCCTTCTTCTGGCTCTCCGCCATCAGCATGGACCTCTGGAACACGTTCAGCGGAAACACCCGCGTCCTGAGCCGCCTGCTGATGGGGCAACGCTTCCTCACCTACAACGCCTACGCCTGGGGAATGCCGTTGGTCCTGACCGGAGTCACCTACCTCGCTGACCGGCTCGTAGAGAACGAGGACTGGAATCCGCGAGTGGGTGCGGAGGGACATTGTTGGATCTACAGTGGGTACCGATTTCGATTTCGATGGCGTTCGTACCCCAGTCCAGTCAGGTTTCCTTTCCGCCCACAGCCCTTGGTTGGTCTGCCATGCTCTACTTCTTTGGACCGATGCTACTGCTGATTCTGTTCAACCTGACCATGTTCATCCTGACGGCCATCCCCATAATGCGAGTGAGGAGGGACATTAAAGTCTGGACCAACAGGCGGGACGGAAAGCAGAACCCCAGTTTGGACAAGGAAACGTAATGCAGTCCAACTTCTGAATGATCAATCACCGTTTAGGGAGTTGCCCGTTTCCCTTGCAGATACATGTCCTTCCTGAGGCTCTTTATTGTCATGGGTTTGACGTGGAGCATGGAGATACTCTCCTACTTGCTGCAGTCGGACCCGTTTTGGGCCAAGGTGTTCCTGGTGGCCGACTACCTAAACTGGTCTCAGGGAATCATCATATTTGTGCTGTTCATTTTGAAGCGCAGCACTCTGAAACTCCTGCAGGAGCGGTAAGTACTCATTGGTTTGCAACATGTTTGAGTAACAAAGTCCCTCCATTTCGTCTCTGCCTGAGCAGCATTATGGGTGAGAGTGCAGAGGCCAACGTCAGCGAAGAAGAGATCTCGCTTGAAAATGCCAAACTTGGCAATAATTTCTCATAATAGGTAACAAGAAGAGAACTGTTTATTTGCAAATTTGGTGCTGGAAACCCCTGATCTACTAACAATGAAATTGCACGCCAGATCAACAACTGGTTATCCTGGGTGTCTGTCGATATATGTTTCTATAGTTATAATGCTTGTCACAATTAACCTTTTCTGCTTCCTGTTAGCATGGTGTTTGCCTTCTCCTTTAAGTTAGTTATTGCACATTTAAGTCATTCTTTTCTTGGAGTGATCATAATGATTCCTTCTCCCTAGACGCCAGCCAAAACCCAACTGGAGTACGAGAATAAGATCGAGTGGAAGCGCGACTGGTGGATCCGTAAATCGCTTAACCAGGACCAACTCCTCAGCCCAAAACTCTTCTTTGATGTTGGGTTAGTGTACCTATGTATTTACTAACGCTGTGAAATTAACATTTTTTTAACTACAGTAGAATCCGCTTATAGCGACTCGTTATACCCGGAAGACGCAGTAAGCAAAAGGATATAAGTGTATAAGCCTGTCTGGAGACCAATCAAGCCATCGACGGACACGATAAGCGGAGTCGTTATAACAGGATTCTACTGTATTTTACTCAGATTAACCTTGCATGTTGGTTTTCTTAGACAGCAACTTAAAGAAATACTTATTTTTGATACACTTTTTTTGCTAATTAAGAAATAACATTATTATACTCGAAGTGAAGTATTTTTGATAAACATTTTAAATTGCTAATCAAAAAATAACAAAATTATACTCAAAGTAAAGTATTGTATCCCTACTTGAAATAAAAGTAACTGAAAAAATATTATAAAGAGGTGCGACTTAAAAATTACTTTTGAGTATTTAATGCCCGTCACATTTCGGGATGAGTTAAGTGTTCATTTCCTTCAATGTGAAAATAAAAACTCAGTCAAGTAAGATAAGTTTCTAGGAACTCTATGACTCAAAATATATATCAAGATATTCATTCTCGTATGGTCTGAGCTCTTCGACTCTTGAAGAATTGGTGGAATTATTTGCTACAGTGGAAAAGCTTTTCACTGCATTAGCTTTTCGCCGCAGCTTTTGGACCTGAAGAACGCCGCTATGAGGAAACGGAAAACGGCAGTTGTACTGGAGCATCAAAGCCAGCGGGTTCAGTCGAAGCGAATTTGGCCGATGAAGAAGTCCACTTGCGGGTCGGTTGGCGGACGATAAGCGGGATACATCTCAATTAAACTATGCTAGACGCGCTTATCTAGCCGCTAAGCAGTAATTAACAAAGCAAATTTATTGAGAGCCAACAATAAAGTGAAGCAGATTCCGTTGTGCAAGTAGTGCGTATGTGAGTTTGCCAATTAAAAATCCTGGGGCCATTGGAGATCGCCAAGGCCGAAGTGTTTGGTTTCCGAAACAGTTCGCAACCGATGCTATAATGCGACTTTAATGTCTCGCTCGGCCCACAACAACAGTCGCGTTGTCTCTTCATGTATCGTCAATGGTTTTGCACTGATCTTTTTTGCGAACCTATATTTTATTTACGTACATGTGTCGCTGCTGCCGGCTCAATGCCAAAACCAGTCTTTTACTCAAGTTCGCCAAATGACGGCAACGGATTTTAGGGAATACCGCAGAAGCGCCTCCCTGCCTCTCCCGAAATCACTGGCACGTTGCTGTCATAAAATCCATTCGTCGGGATTAACAATTCGGTATTGAAATGTGTAACTGATTGTTTCGAACCGGGGATCGTCTTGGCCAGCGGAGCACACATGACCTGGTCTATTACGCCTGATTCCAAGCTCTTTTAATTGCGTTTAAGTTTAACAACGGTGTCCGTTATGTGTTATGTGACTCAACTCTACGTGCCAACAAAAAATAGTTTTCGATTCGGGAAACGTGGGATTTGGCTTCCTTAAATGGCTCAAATCTGCCGTTGCAAATATAACGCTCAAAAGAACATTTAGCGATTTCAAAACAAGAATTAATATTCTTTTATTGTCCAAGGTCAATTCACTACCAAAAACAGCAACCTTTATCAGCAGATGAGCATAACTTGGACCTCCAGCAGGGATCGATTATAGCCTCGATGATCTGCGGTTATCACCCAGCGTGTGCCAAAAATAGAGTATGTTCCTATGTTCTTTTCCCCAACCACCCGACGAAGATCGGAACAAAACAAAAGACCAATCTGCCCGAGCTGTTATAATGCCAACTGGTGTGGCGCCGTGCTAATTAATTGGCAAGTCGAGCAATCGAGTTGAACGATTTGAGTCATCGTGACAATAGCCCGTGTTTTCCCTGGGGCCATTGCTTCGTTCAAGAAGTCCACTCATCGTCCGATAATTGTTTTCTTTGGGTAACCAAAGGCGAGATTGAGCCACTGTTCGCACTCGATCAAATTTCGCATTGTTCGGCGCTTTGTTTTGCCTGCCTTCCAATTAGCGAAGTCGCCGAGAGCTCTCGCGTTAACAGAGACCCCTAACAGGGCTCTGCTATGAGTCTGTTATAGCTCTGTTATGTGTCTGCAAGCGCTGAGTTTTTCACATCCAGTTCCCCAGTTCGCATCAAGACGTCGAGGGTTGTGGGTGCTGCTCGGTCGGCAATACAGGTGCACCAATCATTTCACCGGAGTTACGAATGTCAATGTTAATTAAATCGTTAGCTAGCGTGTGATTCTGCCGGTCTCCAAAGCCCCAGGCAGCGTAACCGGTTCCATAAAGTGTTCGCATATTTACACCCACTTCCCAGGGAATTCCCCATAGCCAAAACTTTTTGTCCGCGGCGGGAGTGAGAAATATTGAGAAAGAGCCGCGTTATAAACACTGTGGATGTGAGGATCCCTTGATTTCTCGAGAAACGTTTATGTGGTTACCCACCTTGAGCCACAGACTCTTCCCAGAGCCAATTTGCATAAGCAAACCTGATAAAAAACACACAACTCGAACCGCAATCGAATTTAAAACCGAAATCATGTTTCGTTGACGCTTTTTCAAGGCGTAAACCCCACTAAAAACTCACGGAGGTTTTTGTTTACCCATCTATACCTGGTCAGTGTTTTATTAGCGATATAGCCGTTCGAGCAATGCAAGTGCCAGCCAAGTATCCCACTGATCTATAACCGGAAAGTGAGCGAACTAAAAAACAACAGGAAGAACTCTGTTGATCAGCAGCAGACAACTTAAAGTTGTCCACATTATTCATCGCCTTTTTACCGGAGCTGTGTAAGTTGCATGCCAATAAATACTGGGGGCAGTTCATTGGGCTCTCGCTCTCATAAAAGTAATGGCTATCCCTTGGAAGCATTTAAATTTATATTTTCGATGCCATAGAATTTCCGCGTTCGGAACATTCTCTTTTAAAGACTTTCAGCGACATTTATATATACAATTAATGGGTTCTCAGTATGAAATTAATGATCAATGAATTTTAAATATTTGCTTTAATGGTTTTCCGTTTTTGTATTAAGTGGTTTTTCATTTAAAAAACAAAAAAAAAGGAATTGGAACTAGATGATGGTTGAATTACTATTGATAACTTCACTTGACAAAGTAGATATTGTCTGACACAGTGAATAGGTTATGCATCTGTGGGAAAAGTGGCCCATAAACGATAAAAAGGTAATTAGTAATTACTAATTACATATGTGGAAATTCCAGATTAGAGAATCAGTGCTGAAAACCTATCATTTCACGACAAACACTGCCTGTCGACTGTTCTGTTTAGCCAACTGTTTCCCTTCGCTGCAACTTTATTGAGTCACTGACAAAATTGGTTATTATAGCGAAATGGCGATCCACCCCAAAGGCCGCGCCTTGGCATCCAATCAGAAATAAGACCTGAGCAGTTTCTTTCGCTTCAGAATTCGAATTTGTTAAATGTTGTTTACACTTTCGCACATTTGGCTGGGGATTGTTGTTGAAACATCTCGGGAATATTGTTTATTGTTTGCTTTGAGGTCTGTTTATTTCGCATCAGTTTTTCCTACCTTCTGAGTATTAAATTAAAGCATATAATACGTCCCCTGAGAACGAAATAAACATATTAAAGTACTAGACTAGACGTTTTATTTGGATAAAAAATGCATTACATGTTTGGTTTGACTAGTTAACTTTAATGTGGGCAGCCTTTAAAGTTAGTTAGTCCCTTGCACTATCACGCACAAGAGGGGTTCGCCCATTTATTTTCATGATATGCCAAGTGCATTTACCAATTAATTAGCGAAATGCTTCTGTAGTCACCAGTCTGCTGCTTTCTTGGGGCCCGTGTCCTATCTCCCGTGTAATTAAGACTGAGTAGTATATCTCGACTTCACAAGGGATCCTAGCTGACGCAATAAAATTAATCTCCAGGAGTTCTAACACCCCATAAACTAGCACAACTACTTTCGAAAATAAACAATATGAAATGAGCAACTTGTATCAGGGATTTCTCTTTCCAAATGAGATGTAAGAGGGGAAACCCATGACTGTTAATGGAGTCAATAAATTAGTTGATTCTTTTTGAAAAGCTTCATCAGTTCTAACTGGTTGGCTCTTTCGTAAAGTGGCGTTAAAATAGGCTTATAAAACACAAACACAAATAGAGGCTCTGCGCTCTTTATTGCGAAACAATTGATTTCCCAAGTACTTAACTGGAATTCTTAGCTGGAATTTGCACAAGCCTTCATCAAGGCTAATGAGGGCGGGTCCATGTTGACGGCCATTTATCTTCCCGGGTCTCGAGTTCCCGAATGGGATCTGTTGACTGTCCGGCCTCCGCCCCCCCGAAAAAAGTGGAAAAGTGGGGTGTCAGAGGAATAATATTTGGCAAACTTGCCACCCGCCCACTCTAATGGCAATCAATTGATAGAACCGCCCGCCTTTGTTTACAATCCGCAGACAGCGGACAGCGGAGGCATCAGCATCGGGGATCTAAAAATACTCCAGTTGGAATTTTCTCTCGAAACACACAGCAAACCCGTCAATGGGTTGCCCATTAAAAACTGTTTTGCCGAGTGTTCGAGGTGTTTGCGGGCAAAACGAAGAACACCGGACCCTGCAATCGCTGCTTATCTGCCCAGAACCCAGAACCCACCGCAGCTCACCACAGTCAAGCTCCGGTGTGGTGACTAGCAACCTGGCCTCTTCGGGGGCAGTGTCCCCTGTCTTCGGCGGTTAGTTTCCCTTGCGATACGGACAGAAAACCGCGCGGCCCTTGGCAAGATAATAAACGAATAAATTGGGGCGATTTAAGTGTTTTGTGGCATACGTGATAAACACCAAAAGTGGTTGAAATCATCAGCGAAAAACCGAGAAAACAGACAGTTCGTTTAAAAGCTGAGCGCGGATAAAAAATATAATATACTGATTATTATTTATGTGAGTTGGGTTTACTTGAATTTAAATTCGCTTCCGTGTAACCCGAAGCGAACATTTGAGGATTGGCCTGCAGTGTTTGTTTTGTTTGGTCATTGTCTATATTAATATGTGAATAGTGTCGCCGTTCGCGTAAATTGCGCATACGCCTTGTGACACCCGCGTCGAATATCTGCTATCTGCGCTGGGTTTTATGCCCCCAGTTTGGGCCAGTGTAATGGGATTTTAATTCGGCAGGGCTTAGTGCCAATAGATGACTCAGGGCGCCCATTGCTCACCGGCATCCTGACCATGGACAATCCCCAAACTGTCATAATCAGCCAGATAATAACCGAGTCAAAGACAAGTAACCTAAGGAGTCGAATTGCCGAGCATCTGTAAGTAATAGCCACCATCAACCGCCTTCCACATTTCGCTGGAACTGGGGACTCGATAAGTTGCCACTCGTGGAACATTCTACATATATAAATAAACAAGAAAGTCATATTCCTTTGTCAGACACTAGCAGGCGGCGTTGGCCAATTGACTTTATCTTATCGGCAACCGGCCACAAATAAGACATTTTATACGAGTGAGCTGCGAAAACATATCAACGGTTCCCGATTCCGATTCAAATTTGAACTCGTCAACGCGGTTGTAAAGCAAAGTTGGTTTAAAAATGCTATTCTCTCGATGATCTGTCGTATGACTCCCCAGTGGGTGTTTAAAATGGAGTTTCTGTTTATTAGGGTTGGTTCTCGATCCCTACTTTGAATTCCCACTCGATTATTCTAATCAATTACGAAATTTAATCCCCGATCAGAATGTGCACTTAAGTTACGAAGAAAATCGTTTCGAAATCGAATCAAAATTTCTAGCCTAAATAATTGTTTGGCCAATCAAAATATAAATACACAAAAACTTTAAGAAGCAAAAAAGAGATTTGGAAAAATATTGCTTTTAACAAATCGCAGCTGAGTGACTTTGGCACACTTGAGGGGGGCGGCGAGTGTTTCCTAAAACAAATATATCGAATCGGAAAAGATCGCTGGTCATAATTCAATTTTATGGCCAATTGTTTTCTCGATTTTAATGTTCCACATGTTTTGATTATTTCTCAAACATCCGCAGTGCGCTGCACTCCACATGTGAGGAGATATATACGATTGAAAGCGTTCTAGTGAAATTAGCCAAACGCGCTCAACGATTAATTATGCTAATTTCTGCCGCGAGATAAGTGCTCTCACTCCCGCTGCCAGTATCCATTTTCCCCATTAGCCAACTAAACTATATGGAGTTTAATGTGTTTGCCCTCCGCCCGCCACCCAATAAATTCCCGTGAATTCATGCTAATTTCGCGGCCCACGCGCCTCCCACCACCCACTGGCCACCACCCACCTCCTCCTGATTCCTCCTCTTTCGCCGAGGGCAAACAATCAGCGGATCAATGAATTAGGTCCCACTGGCTAATGATGCACGATAAGATAGCGAAAGGTACGAAAGGTCCCTCCCTTTCGCATCGGTAATGAATTTATGGACTGGCTCGTTAGCAGATTGGAGGACTGGAGAGTTGGGGGAGCGGGGTGCCGAGTGGGATGTCACCGCTATTGACAGACGACGGCAGTTACTATCAATTTAACACGAATCCATAAATGTTTGTTCCGTCCGCACTCCCTGCGTGGCTGACCTTATGATTGATGCCCCGGGGAGACCTTTCTCCCCACGGGACTCGGGTCGGTTGCTAATTGCTTTTCCCCGTGCCCTTCGAGTCCTTCGAACAACCTGTTGTCTGCGCGGGTGATTCACTAATTGTCCCCGCTGATGAGTCCCCAATGTAGCTCCATTGCCCAAATTAGTGGCCCCGCTTAGCTAACCAATGTTCGACTAGCCACTCGTTAAAGGAAAATTGTCATACCGTTTTTACTGCTCATTACTGATCTAATTCACTAACACTCTAATTCAATACCCTACTCTAGTCAATTGAATAATTAAACCTACACCTACACTAATTTCAGAACTTAATTTCCTCCCATAGAAAGGTAAATACTAGTGAGGTCAATATCATTACAATGTTAGTAAATAAGCATATCTTTGCAGTACAATTAGTAACCCAAATAAACTGTTTTATCCGCAGAACCTTCATTATGCCGAAGAAAATCCAGCAACGGGGCGGACCCCTCTACTGCGGGGTCACCCTGCTGGGGGTCCTCTGCCTGGTTGTGTTCCGCCTTATCCCGGGGCTTCCCTTCGGGGCTTACGTCATGGCCGAGAGGGACCACTACCACACGATCGACGACCCGAACGTTCCCTGCAACTTCTACGACACGGTCAACCTGACGGGCCACACGGTCTTCTCCAACGGGAGCTACGACTACTACGGCACGATCATCCCCAGGAACCTGGTCGGGGTGTACGACTACGTGCACAAGTCGCTCACGGAGCGCATCGAGGTGCCGGAGCACGTGAGGGGCTGTGTCTGCAAGCTGAAGCCCTGCATCAACATCTGCTGCCCCTGGCGACAGCTCTTCAACGCCGAGAAGGGCGAGTGCATGGTGGAGCCCAGGGACAACCGCACCTGGCCGGACCCGCCCATGATAAACGTGACGTTCGCCAACGAGACGATCGAGCCGGTCAACATCTTCCACCACTTCGCGATCCAGAGCTTCCGACCCTGCCCCAAGATGTTCTCCCTGCAGCCGCAGCTGTTCAACTTCGACGACTACCGCATCTTCGGGAACGGGTCGATGCTCCGCCTGGACGACGAGCTGCTCATCAGGAAGAACGAGTTCTGCATGGTGCCGACCTTCGTGAACGAGACGGACATGGTCTACAGCCTGAACCCGGCCAACTGCGACATGTCGGACGACAACAACACCGTGAAGATCATCAACGCGTACGGTAAGTTGACTTACATCTGATTGACCTACAATCTGACTTGCATTTCTACCCGGCAGCCATGCTCTTCTCCATCCCCTTCATGATGCTGACCATCGCCGTGTACCTGCTGATCCCCGAGCTGAGGAACCAGCACGGCAAGAGCCTGGTCTGCTACTTGGTGGGCCTCTCCGTCGGCTACAGTCTGATGTGCTACATCCAGCTCAACGTCCACATCGACGCCTCGGGGCTGAAGTGCAAGATGTTCGGGTACACGATCTACTTCTTCTTCATGTCCGCCTACTTCTGGCTCAGCGTGATCAGCTTCGACCTGTGGCACAACTTCCGCGGGACGAGGGGCATCAACCGGTTCCAGGAGAAGAAGCGCTTCCTGATCTACTCGCTGTACTCCTGGGGCATGGCCGTCGTCTTCCTGGCCTTCACCGTCTGCGCCCAGGAGTTCTTCGACTGGCCCAAATCCCTGAGGCCGGGCATCGGGGACGGCACGTACTGCTGGCTGGACATGTCCACGTGGTCGGCAATGATCTACTTCTACGGGCCCATCATGGTGATCGTCGTGGCCAACACGGTCATGTTCATCATGACGGCGATCAAGATCCACGGCGTGCAGCGGGAGATGGCCAGGATCATCGCGAGCGAGAACAGCACCAAGAACCTGCGCACCGAGAAGGACAAGTGAGTGCCCAGTCTGCCCAGTTCCCCATCCAACTCGCCCTAAGGAGAGTCCGTCGTGTTCTGTCCTCCCTCAGGTTCGGCCTCTTCCTGCGCCTCTTCCTGATCATGGGGGTCACTTGGAGCTCGGAGCTGCTCTCCTACTTCGTCGGCGCCGACAAGAACTGGTCGAAGCTCTTCTACATCTCGGACCTGGCCAACGCCATGCAGGGCTTCCTCATCTTCATGCTGTTCGTTATGAAGAAGAAGGTCAAGCACTTGATCACAAACAGGTAAGCGTCGGTCCCCAATCATTCGGTGTCTAGTTTTGTCCCGTCCCGTCGGGGGTTTCCCTCATCCCACTCATTCGATCCGACCGTGTGTTGTGTCCCTCACTCTGACCACCCCCGAATCTTTTGACCCGACCTTTCCCAGAACGATTCGGGTGCGCAGTCTGCGGCAGACCGAGAGCGTTACGATGGGGCAGAGCTCGATCTCGATGCGGCAGCGCTTCATGGAGGCCTCCAACCAGATCCGCAAGCTGGTGGTCATCCGCAACGCCTTCGCCAACGGGTCCACCAGCGGTGTTCACTCGCACGAAGTCTGAAGCTCGAACTGACTCCGTCGATAGCAGTAAGCAGGTGCCATTCTGCTCGGTTGTTGTGGCCTTTGACTAACCCCTGATCGTCAATGTGATTTCCGGGCTATGCTCTTCGAACGCTTGCCTTAAATATGTAGCTTTCAAACAGAACGTGTTACCACTTTCAAAACCAATAGGCATTTCAGCAACTCACCACACCCTTTTTTAGCCAGCTGAGGAATACTGACTTTTTTCAGCCCTTGATTATATTTGCCTTTATGTTGTACTTATCTCGTTGTCAGACCGCTTTCGAAATTGCTTATTCGCAAGCTCAACAGCTCTAAACCCAACACTGACATCCAACAACCCGAATCTCCAGCCGCCTAGAGCTGTGTCCCAGTTCAGGCTGCGGCTGACCAAAATCCGTCCATAAGCATCGCGTATCCGTAGCTACTAAACAGTAATCCCATGACTAAGTGCCCTGATCTAAACACCAACTTATGTTTGCATCTATAATGTGTGTCCATCTGTGCATGTGTCCCAACATCATTGTGATCAACGATCGTTGTCCATCGAAGACTGCTGGAGAAAAAGCGCTCTAGCGGCTTGAACTCGACCACCACCTCGACTTCCATCACCTCCGACTCAAGCGGAACGCCGAGAAAGCTTCCCCTCAAGGCTGTGGACAGGATCGGTTCGCTTGCCAGTCCAATGCCGGGGTTAGCCATCTAATCGAACCGGTCACAGGTAATCCCCGCGCGTAGAAGTAGCCATCTCTCTTACTGAGAGTGTAGCTAACCCCAGTTGACTACCACGATGAGATAATCCGACTAACCCCTAACCCTCAACCTCTCAAGTCCTAACTGTAGAAACATCTTACAATTGTGTCTCGGTGAAGGTGTTCTGTTGTGATCCTATCTGATCTGCTCGATTGCTCTGTGTTTTCGCTTTTCGCTAACCAAAACCAAGCACTCAACCGAACCAATTCTAATCAGATTTACCGCCATTGTCTATTCCACGCTGCCCACGCAATGGACGTCATAACAACTCGACGAACCACATAATGGAATTACCACCGCCGCAGATGCTCGAGTGTGCGCGACGGCAGCAACCAACGTCAGAGCCAGTACTCCACCAAAACCACGTCGAGCAGCGTGGCCAACCTGTCGCTGCACGAGAAGCCGTCGGTGGAGAAGCCGCTGGTGATCAGCTCGAGTGTGGACCCGCCGAGAACCACCATCTTTCGCTGAGCACCTCCAGTCGCCTTGGGCCGAGCATCGAATAGTCTATAGTCTGGGATGTCTCCAGGAAAGGGAGATTGATGTTTCAACAAAGGATTCTTTGGTGCAATTGAAGGATTGACTAGGATTGCCCAAAGAATATCCTAAGCTATTTATGTTCTTTGTCATAACGTCAATATCACCCTGATTTCGGGAATGTCTTACAGATGGCGTAGAAGCAGCCATATATGGATAGTACTTTATGAAAGACACTACTATAGGAGGAAGTCCCTATCCACAAAACCCCAAAAACCACCCTCGCCCCTCTCTCTCTCTTTTTAAATGTCACGCGACCACGAACAACCTGATTAGTTTTATAAGTACGCTGTGCAGCTCCATATCTTGCATTTATGTCTATAAATATTATATCACCTGCTAAGAGAGATCAAATTTTGAACTTCTTCGCTAATTTAAGTCATTCGGCAACCATCAGCATATACGTAAAATACAGGTGTGCCTTGATAAAACTTAGAATACCATTTTGTTATTTGTACCACTCTATTCGCCTATGCGTACCACTTTCCATATCTGTATTTGCATTATCTAAACTAATGTTACAGAATAAACGAGAGTTATACTTGTATTTCAAGCTTAATAAAGCCAAAGATAAGTGAAAGCCTGTGTTTTGCTGACCGGATCCTTGTGGCATATAGTATAAAATAATAGTTAACAATTACCCACAGAAAAAAGTTAGACGATTCATGTTTACTTTTTCCATTCACTATGCTATAAAGATCGTAAAGATTGCTATAAAGATCGTAGACGATATTCAGCAAAGACACACTCCTCAAAATAGATCTACTGCCTAGCTAAGACACGCACCGAGTTGAGTTTCTTCAGAGTATTTGAAAAGCGAAACCGTTTAGATCACTTAGTTTCGAATAACGAAATTTTCCTTAAAGGGTTTAAAATTAAAAGCACATTGGGAACCCGGAATATCTTAAAGATATGTGCATATTGTGTAATTTGTTTCACAAATACCTAAATTCGGCTAGAATAGCTCATACCACACCACTGCTGGCTGTCAAAAATGGATTTTGAACGGAACAGTCGCGCTGGCTAAGATTCCGCGGCCATTTCTGGAAGGGGGATGGGACGGTGGGGCGGAGGGGTATGGCGGTGACTGGTCCCCATCGCTGTTTCGCCGGCTGCTTGTGGTCGCGTCTGGTTTTGGGGCTGGCTAATCAGTTAGTCTGTTTTTTATTCTTGCCCAGCATGGAGCTGCGTTGCGGTTGCCGGTTTGTCGCTTAAAGAGAGGAAAGATTAACTGGGAGAGTCTCTCCATCGGTCTTTTATGTTTATGGTTGTTCTTTTTGGTGTTGCCATTGCCGCTGCCGTTGTCGTTGTCGTTGTCGCAATCACAGCCGTTTTTAGACCCGCGCCAGCGTCGCTGTCAATTTTGGGCTTCGATTGTTGTTGGATTGGCTTTGTGACTCGACGAGTGTGCGTGCATGGCCCAAAGCGACGGCGATCGCATCGCTTCACATATTTGTTTACTTAATTATCGAGCTGCTCAGCCTGTGACGTCAGGTAAAGCAACACATAACCCGAACTGAGCGCGGTTAACTTGGCCATGGTTTCTCTGTGGATCATCCCACTGGCCCTTTGCGGGTTCTTTGCGGGCGCCCAATCCCTGGAGATCGCCAGTGTGGAGCACCCGTGCGCCTACGCGGACACGGTCAACATCACGGACGGGCTCCGGATGAAGGACGGCTCGTACTCGTTTGCCGGAGTGGTGGTTCCCCCGCACCTGATGGCGGAGTACTCCTTCAAGGTGATCGACGGCGTCGAGTACCGGGCGAAGAAGCACCTCCGCGGCTGTGTCTGCCTGCTGAAGCCCTGCATCAGCTTCTGCTGTCCGACCGATCTCGTATTCGACGCCAAGAACTGGAACTGTTCGATGCCCCACCAGGTGCGGCAGTCCACCCACGTGGAGCTGACCTACGGCAATCGGTCGGTGGAGCAGGTGCGGATCGTCGATCGGTTCGTGGTGCGCACCGAGCTCGGGTGCCGGAACAAGTTCGTCGACAAGAAGCACGAGAACTTCTGGCAGTGGGACCTCTTCGAGAACGGATCGCTCCAGAGGGACAATCGCCTGTGGACCACGGACGAGTACTGTTTCAGCCCCCTGGAGCACAAGGCGGAGCAGTGGGAGCTCACTCCACTCAGCTGCGAACGCTTCCAAACTGGCTACCGGGTGTGGATCTACGCCATTTGTAAGTGGAGTCTTGGAAGCTATTTGCTTATATATATTATTTTCTACCTTGCCTTTAATTTTCAGGCAGTATTATAGCCATCATCATCAACATCTTCATACTTTCCCTCCTTGGTTCTGTGAGAGATGCCAGGAAAAGCCACTACGGCCAGCTGATCATATACTACCTGCTCTCCCTGATCGTGGGCTACTCCCTGTTGGTGTATTTGGCTTTGAAGAATCCCTTAAAGTTATCGCACACAGCTTGCAGGAACATAGGTACGCTGTAGTATTTATATATATCCTATTTACTTAACTAAAGCTCTATTCTTGGCAGGGTTTCTGGCCTACTTCTGCATAATGCTCTCCTTTGTCTTTCTGGCCATCTGCAGTTTTGACTTCCTGCTCAAGTTCAGGCGAAAGGCTGTTAGGAACTGGGTGCGACGGTTGTCCTACGCTTTGGCAGTCCTCGCGGTTATTGGTCTCCGATTTCTGGTGTCCTTTGCCCAGGACTCCAAGTTGCCCAAGCACTACAAGCCGGGAATGGGCGAGGACTATTGCTGGTTCGACGGTAAGTTAAGGAGTATATAATTTGATAAGGCTCTAGACCACTAGTACTTTCAGTTCGCACTTGGGGCATTTTGATCTACTACTACGGACCCATCACACTACTGCTGCTTTTCAGCATTGTTTGCTGCCTGAAGGCCTACTTTTCCATCTACGAGCTGCCACCGGATACTCAGTACATATTGGGTACCCAGCTAAGGATCGTTAAGACCCAGTAGGCACCTCGAATGCGCCTTTAGAAGAGCAACGAGTTAACCCTGCCTTTTATTGCAGTTTCTACGCCTTCAGTGCCTACATAGTGGGCGTGTTTGCTGTCTGGATTCGCGAGATTGTGGTTTATATTATGGCCAGGGTGAGAGAGCACTTCTTCATCATCGACTTCTGGAGTGGAATTTGCATCCTGGGTTTGGCCATAGCTGGTTTTATTCTGCTGCTCGGAAAGAACCTGCACGTGAAAACCTGGTGGGCCATCAATGTGTAAGTTTTGACTTCCGAATAGAAAGGTGCATGAGTGAAAACGCCTAAACTTTCCACAGGGAATCAAGTCAAACGGATCTTAGTGTCATTAATGCCCGCGTCTACAAGTTCGACGAGAAAGGCGATCTGAAATCATCAGGTAGGTGCAAAGGATTATGCTCTATTTGTCCCTCTCCTAACTTCACTTACTTTACAGACTCTCCCTACAAGCCCACAGTGACGTCACTCTAATGGTAACTCACAAGATCACTCATCTGTGAACTCTGGTATTGACTAAGCTTATGACTCATTAAGTCTGTCGCTCACATATAAATGTATATACAATAAGTGCTTCAGTGGGATAGACCTGTGAAAATGGTTGACAAACACAACTGATGTACACTAATATTATAAGAAAACTATAAACAGCCTCGATTTCTTATCCCTGGTATTTTATTTTGCCAAATTATCAGTGTCATCCATACAAATAATATCAGCTTCTCTGATCTTTTAGCTCTCTATCCCTCAAATGCTTGCGCTATTATAGCAAATAAACTCCCGATTCAATGGGTTTTGCCAGCACCTTTGTCCCCACAAACCATTCCCTTATGAATAATTTGCACAGAGGCAGAGCTCGAGGCGAACCCACCGAAGGGGTTCCCAGTTAACGGCTAAATCGTAAACAATTCCTCGAACGTCCACCGACGAGGGTCGCTTGATTCGATGACGTGCTCCGAGGCTCTTGGACAGAATGAAAACGGCTGGTGATGGGTGATGGGTGGGTCGGCTGGATTAGCCGCCAGCTAAGTGGCACGCAACAAATGTTCCGTTAATGACGCAATTGGCATTGCTCGAAACGCCTTTATCCCTATCTACCTATCGGTTCTAATATCCGTATCGCCGCCATATCTATGCCTTCGTCTACGGAGTGTCCGGCCGTTTTTTGCGGGAATAGTTCTCTTGGTTTCGTGTTATTTCTCCAAAGTAGTGAAGCCAAGACGAATAGCTCAGACTCTATGAAATCTTCCTTAATAACTACTTGATTTATTTATGTTTTTTACTATTTCTAAATGGAGTTGAGACAAATCTAGGAGGTCCTTAAACTCCAAAAGAAATCTCTTTTGAAATATATAAGAAAAATAACTAGTAAACGGCGCTGTATTTACCTTCAGTATTTGGCAATTAGTTTTCCATTAGATAAAATCAAAAATATCCAAACACATCATCCGCTGGTCTGGCTCATTTAATAGTAGAGCATTTCCTGACCATTTTGATGTTTTCCGAGCTGTCTGTTTTCCCCCCTTTTTTTGTTGCTGTAAACAAAATGCCGCACGTTCCTCGCAGACCATCGAGCAAAGTGGGTGTGCGCCCCGCCATGCCACAAAAGCGCCGCAGACACACCACTGACCGCCTTCGATTGAGTTCGCCGGGATTCGGTTCACAGTCCAAGTTCGGCCCGTGCCAGGTGCAGATGATGATCCGCTCACTCAATTAGCGGCTCGCACCTCCGAAAGCGAGCGACGTCATCGGTGCACCACTATTGAGTTCACTTCACTCCATTCCCTTTCATCTCATTTCATTTCGGTTCAGTTCGATTTGGTTCGAAATCGGTTTGGCAATCGTCTGGAGGTAAACAGGCATAAATTGCACGCTCTAACGTAAACAAATAGCGTTCGGAGCAGACGAATATGAGTTCCAAAAGAGATCGGCAGTCGGGAATGTCTCTTCGAATGGCGCAGTTTACGGTTTTGGCCATCCTTCTGGCCGCAGTGCACAGTGCACATGGATTCCACGAGGAGACCCATTATCCCTGTGCCTTTATCGATACCGCGAAAATCACGGGGAGCTACGACCTGAACGGTTCCTACGTCCACAACTGGACCGTGATCCCCCCGCCATTTGGTGGCCGTCTACGACTTCGTCATCGAGAACGGCATCCGCATCCCGGCCACCCGACACCTGAGGGGCTGCGTCTGCAAGACGAGGCCCTGTGTGCGGATCTGCTGCCAGGAGGGCGAGGTCTACGACCTGGAGAGGCGCCAGTGCGCAGTCCCCGCCGCCGGGCTGTCCAGCCTTCCCGCCCAGAGCCACATGGCGGTGGAGCTGAGCAACGGCAGCCTGAGCGACATGGAGCTGCAGCCGCACTTCAGCGTCCACGTGGACACGCCGTGCGACCACATGAAGGCGGTCACCAAGGGGTCGGAGTTCGTTCACTGGACCCTGCACGAGGTGGTAACGAGATAACTTCCTCATCATTGCCTCGTTGCATCTCCTGTTGCATCTTTCAGAACGGAACCATCAGCCACCGGGGTCACGTCTTCTCCAAGCACTACTGCTTCACCCCGCTGCTCCACGAGAACTCCACCTGGGAGTGGCAGCCGCTGGCCTGCGCCCCCGAGAAGCTCCACTTCGTTTTGGGTGTGCGGGAGTGGACCTACGCTATATGTGAGTGCGAAACAGACAGACAGATATTTTCCAGCAATTGGGCGATCCACAATCACAAATGCTTTCGATTTCATTCGAGGCAAATTTGTGCGTCTTAAAAATAGTACGCTCGTAAAAGTAATTGTTAGAATAACACAAGGAAATCGCGGGTGCCGATTGATATTTTGATCGTTAGCTATGATCTTTTGCTCTCAATTATCCAGCTGACTCTCTTGGCAGGCCTCCTCATCGCGATACTATCGATGTTCATCGTGCTGATGGTGTACCTCCTGTGCTCCGAGATGCGCAACAGTTTCTACGGTGTGGCCATCAAGGCGTACGCTATATGTTTGATTCTGGGGTACGCTCTCCTGGCCTATCTGACCCTCCACAACCCGGCAAACCTCTCAAACGCTGCTTGTCGAGTCCTACGTAAGTGGTATCCCTATTCTTGCGACTACCTAACAAAGAGCTAATCTTCAGCTGGCTTGGCGCTGATGTACCTGGTCCTTTCGTTCTACATCCTGAGCTTCATTGCCTTCAAGCTCTACTTGAGCTTCCACGGCGTGGTCTTCACCAAACTGATGTTCTGGCTGATCTTCACTCCGATCGTGCTGATCGCCGTGGGCTGGTCCTTCTTTGTGGTCTTCAGCTATTACGGCTCCCGGCTGATCTTCGGGGGAGATACTTGTTGGTTCGATCGTGGGTATTGTCAGTGGCTTGCTTTATAGAACACCGATCACTGAATAACTTTTTCCCCTCAGCTCGCAATTGGTCCATTATGATCTACTTGTACGCCCCCATTTTCGTGGCCTGCGCCATCAGCGGATTCTTCTATATCCTCAGCCTGATTTACCTCAGTGAGCAGCCGGAGTTGGAGAAGAACTTTGAGTCAATCGAGAAGAACCGCTTCAAGTCCTTTTGGAAGTACGTCGGCTACACAGCGCTCGTGTGGCTCGTTTGCGTGAGCTCCTTCGCAATCAACTACTATCGGGAAAACCGATCGCACCTCAACTACGCGGTGAGCTTCTGCATGGCCTTCCATGGATTCGCGGCCCTCTATGCCCTGATAGGAAAGAATCAGCAGATCCAGAATTTTCTGCGTCGCATAGACAAGTAAGTACAGAGATGAGTAATGTCTGTTCCCTACTTCTAATTAAATTTATTTTTCAAGTGAGGAGGACACCTGTGAGAACTCCGTTCCGCTGTCAAGTTTTGGTTAAAATTTGATTAAGGCAAACAGTGCCGTGGTCACTGTGCAGTTTTAGTGCCACTGGAAGCAATCAGTCGTTTCGACAAAACCTGAGCAATGGTTCCAAAACCAACTGTCAGTGTTGACAAAAACCAGTGGTCTTAGTACGAGAAACACTGTAAAATATTTGTTGTATGTCTAGAAGGTTTTGTAAAATAAATGTAAAGTAGCCTTTTTTAACACAAGTCAACATACATACTTTGAAATTATCAAACAGAGTCGAAACTAACAATATATTTTATGTTAGCCCATGCTACTCAATTTATTTTTGGAACTGGCTACCATTTTCTGGAAAAGTAAAAAATGTATTGGGCACAAGACCAGCTAGATCAATGATCATAAAAGGTTAATCTATAAAATAGTCGATGAAATGGTAAAAACTAAAACCTAAAAAAAACTAGAAATAGCTCAAATATTTTTTTTTGTGGTTCGGTTCCTAAAGCTAACGCGAGTGCCTAGTTGGCATCCCCTTTGACCCTTAAACAATTGCAACAATTTCCAATTGCCGGCGTATCCAATTTAAGCTTCCCCATCAGAATCACACAACAAAAGCAACCCGAAACTCGGGGCAACAATATACACGTAAATAACGTAATTTACACAACACAAAACAAACTCTGAAGTTGGCCGTAAGGCAACTCTAGTCGGGGTCCTGGAGCACCACAGAATCCCATCCACGGCAATCCACTCCACAATCCCATTCCCATTCCCATTCCCGCTCCCAATCCCATCTCCACCTCCTTCCCCTTCTCCATTCTCCATTCCCAAGTTGCAATTCCCTGGACCGTGGTCGAGTGTCCCCAGTCCTTAGTTCCCAGTTGCCAGTTCCCAGCTCCAGGCTCCCAGTTTCTGTGCTTGTGCCCGATCTCTCTATATAATAAGTGCGCGCCGATTTGTTTGACATCAGAGGTCAATGGCCGCGGAGCAGACAGAGAGAGTCGCAGAGAGAGCTGGCTGCATCCTTGCATCCTGGCAGGGGGATGTCAAGCGCAAGGAATCAAGTGGAAAGTGAAACGGGGGGCGGGAGTTTGCCTCTTTCGCCGGTGCTCTTTTGATGTGGCCTCGCCCAACTGCCCCCCCTTAGCACCCGCTCCAGAAAAACCGAAAACCGAGCAGGCGAACTCCCCCTGTTTCCCGAACCCGACGACCCAGCTTCGGCTGGCTTGGTCCTGCTCTTTTTTTGGCTGGGCGTGCAGCAGCAGGATTCGGAATACAGAATACACACTCCGAGAGCCGTCGAAGGATACCGACTGAGAGAGCGACGGATCGATAAAACGTAGTAAAAATGCTCGTAGTATTGGAAGCTGGAAGCACAAAGCCCGGCATATACAACCGTCGACTAAGGGCAACTGCATCGGCATTGGCGGCTCCAGCATCCTGACGTGCGCACTGGAAAAGCCCGAGAGGTAGGACATGTTTGGCGCGTTTTTTGCCTGCATGTGTGCGAGTGTTTTGTTTTGTTGAAACACGAATACGTATACGTATGCAAAAGCGGGCGGGAACTGCAGCAGGGAAGGGGAAGGGGAAGGATGAGCGCCATACCAAACCCGACCGCGCCCTGTTTCGGGGAATCCCACTCCCGCCTATACAGCAGATACTCCTGCTTACAATCACCCACCTACTCACCCGGCCATCATATCTATCTCCTGGCAACGGAACCAACATGAAAATTAATTACTAAATGACTTTATGCTTTTTAATGGCCCGATGGCAGTTAAAGGATATTAGACAAGCCATTAAATGGCTAACTGGTTGCGGCTGCACGGCTACGCCCCTAAAAACTAAGCTGGAAACGAGGACATGTGTGGTGGTGCGGTGGTGTGGTGGTGCGGTGGGTGAAACTCCATTTAGCCGGTATAGCAGTATCGATATTGGAAATCACTAATTAACATTCGGAGACATTCAGGGCAGATTGCAACACTTTTAAGTTGATTTGACAAACAGTAGGTGCAATAAAACTAATAGCTTTCACTCTAATTATTGTGCATAAGAGATAATAGATTTTGAATACCTAAAGAAATGGTAATATTCAGCATAGTGACCCTTCTTCGTCATTTCCGGTCACATTCTTGCCCCTCTAATGACTGTTTCCCCCTCCCAAGAGCGTGGTAAAAACCAAGACTTTTTCGGAATAATTTACAAGCAGAGCACGTAAAGCAAATCAAATACAATAAATAACTTTTAATTTAGTATTTTCGAGAAATTTACAACTCGAGGAGTAATTTATGCCCATAAATGTCCCCAACAAGCAATTGACCAACATTCCCCCAACCCCGCTTAATAACCGCTCGAGAGTCGGGCGCTCAGTCAGTAATTTATGAATTAAAAGAAGAGGCGAGAAAAGCCCACAAAATACATAGTGGGGGAGTGGGTAAAATGATAAATTAAAAGCGAAACAAGTCGAAAGGGGGCGGGAGTACCATCATAAATTCATTGATGGAAACCCATGAACTGTTGGTCGAAAAACGTAACCACTCTTTGGTTTCTTTTTCCCGGAGGGAAAACGTTTAGTTTCGGTGCCCCTGCCTTCGATTTCTGGTAAGTCATAATCACAAGGCGACCCCCCTTTCACCTCAGACCCCCCTCGCTGCTCGAACCATGGGTTGTTTGAGCAGGGGCCTGCGGACTTCCCAAGTGGCAGACGCGTGTGCTCTCGTTTCTCACCTGCAGCGACACCTTTTCATTTGGCCCACAGTAATCATGAAACTTTTATTATTTGTTTCTCCTTCATTTTTTATATCTCTCGTTTTCCTTTTCTGAATTGTGTTCGCTGTTTGCTCATTGTTGTTTGTTGTGCTTGTCACTTGTTGTTGTTTGTTTACCAAGTCGCTGTGTTGTTGTGTTGTTGTGCGGGTCTCGAGATTTATTTCGTGCGCCGCTCGAAATGTTTCGTTTGCTCAATTTACACAACTGCCAGAGGTTGAAGCGATCTGCCCCTACTTGAAAATTCTCCGCCATTGAGGAATTCATCGGGGCTCGGGTATGCCCTATAATTGAGATCGCGATAAAGCGGGGCGCTATCGGAGTTCATTGATCAAAGTGGGGAAATCGCAGAGTATTGACTTAGAGCCTCTATATTTTCATTGATATTCTCTACCGACTTAACCCCCTACGATAAGCCAGTGTATATTTAAAGTTAGGCAAAGTATCTATTTACTCAATCGATATTCCCAGGGTCTTATCACGCACCTGTTTGACCCCTCTGGCGGTCGCTCAACTCTTCGCCAAGACGTGAGCCCCAAAGATCATGGCCGAATCCGCGACTGTGGAGCATGGAGCATGGAGCATCCGCTTCGGGGGTTCCCAAAGTTGAACGATCATTTGCGGCTGCGGCACGTGTAAATGCTTAACACAATTTTCAAGTTTTCTTTCGGAAGCTTTCGTTTGGCTTTCTATGGACAATGCGCCATAATCGCGTTAAGTGATGAGGGAATTACGAGAGCAATTAAAGTTACACGGCGAATGGCAAACGGCAAACGGCAAGTGGAGGCGATTCGGAATGGAGAATGGAGAAACCGCTTGACACATTCAGCCGGCTCCCATCGCCATCGCCATTGATCTTTGGCCCGCTCCGCGGATTCTCCCCAGCGGAGATGGTGATATCTGTATCTTTATAGACGGCGATCAGCCGTCGGTTATCGCTCGTCGAACGCTCAATTAACGGACAAACAGCGGCACTAATGTGGCAAAATTAGTCGCAGCATTCCAACTTGCAACCGGCAACTGGCAACCGGCAGCCGGCAACTTGGGCACCTCCCAACCCGAGGAGATCCCACTCCGACCCAAGACGACTCCGCCGCAGTCTCGCATTCCCATGCAACAATGTTGCAGAAGAGCATATCGTGCCGACATCGCGCAGTGCAGCAAACACAGCAAAAACCGCTTAAGACAACAGCGACATCGCCGCGGCATGAGTGTGCGTTTTTTGTGCATGCCCTCGGCTCGTACAGGGTATCCCGAGGAGTAACTGGCAGTCAGTGATCACAGAAGTACACAATATCTTAGCCCCAGAACTCCAAATTGTCCAGTGATCTACCTCTTAAAGTATTTCCCATAAGATAAGTGGCATTAGAAGTACACTTTGTTGACATATCACGAGGTAATCCCCGGTCGAGAGCATTTCCCATCACTTTCTGGACTCCTTTAAATGCTTTTACCCATTGTCGACGCAGATCGTTCAAGGAATTCCGACGCCTGGCGAACTTTTCCCGTTTTTGTTTGCGGGTCAACAACTGATGAAGGGAGGAGGACAAGGGCGGGGCTGAGTGAAGCATCTTTATGGACACACTGCAAGCCGAACACTGGGAAGCTGGTGCCGGCGTATCCATTAAGCCAAATGATGGGCAGCCGCCCAAATGCTGCCCTGCGGCAACAATGTTGCAGTCCAGCAACGACAACCTTGTGCGGCGGCACATTAATGAAGTGATTTGCACTTTTTACCAGCCCCTTCCTGACCACCAAAGGAGGAAAGAGGAAAGACCAGTCCGAGCTGAGTCCAGGCTTCCAGGAACGATCCAGCCCCATGCAATCCCATCGAGGCGGTGGGCGAGATTTATGACAGCCGCGGTGGATCATCGTGTCACTTGTCAGAGCCGAAAGATCCCAGTGAAGAGTTCGCAGGAGGAGAAGCGAACTCAGAGCGATTTGCATGGGGCGTGGCTAATTGAGCGGATCGGGCAACCGATCCTGACATGCCGAAATGGAGCAGTCGCCTCGGAGTGAAAGGAAGCCATCAGAAGAGCTCTTTCACTCTGCAATCCTGTAGGAAAAATGTTCTTTTTCTGCTTGAAAGAGACCTAATTCGAGCTGCTTTCTTAGGGGTCACCAAAATATTACTCTCCTCAAAACAACGAAATCACTCACTATTATTTTAAAAATATATATTAATATATTAAATATATATCAAATTTTTTAATATTGATAGGTTTTTGAAGTTGTTCAAACAAAACGAGTGACGGAAGAAGGTTAGTTCGATAATCGACTGATCTTCTCCAGCGGGATCCTCCTTGCTCGCTGATCTATTTGTTCAGTCAATGCCGATCGTGATCGCTGCTTGATCTATTGCACTCCGGGTCTCCAGCCAGTCTCTGGCATTGTTCTCGGCTCTCGCACACGATTCTCCCGAAGCCACGATTCCTTTTGGGAGCCACTGCCAGCCAGAGGCTCCAGAAGATCCAGAGGAG